TTGTAGACGTAGTCCATACTAAAACGGGCGGTATGCGGACGTGCATTATCCTGTTGGAAGTGCTGAAGTTGTGGGTGCGCTCGAAACATCGGAACAACAATTGGTTGCAAGACATCATCACGGTAGGCTACAGCATTAACGCGACCCCTGCAAATGTGTAGGGCGGTCCGGTGATGAAATGTGAAGCCTCCCCACACCATTACCCTTCCCCCACCCCATCGATTCGTTTCGAAGACGCAACAGTCTGCAAGACGTTCCCCAAGACGTCCCCACACACGTTGACGGCCATCAGCGTGATAAAGGTGAAAGCGACTCTCATCACTGAAGAGCACACTTTGCCAGTCTACTCTTCTCCATGTCTGGTGTCCTTGAGCCCATATCAAACGCCGCTGACGGTGATGATCCCTGAGGATAGCTCCAACATAAGGTCGTTTTGCACGGAGTCATACTTCTCTTAGACGACGTCTTACGGTGTTGGCACTTACTGGTCCTTGTCTTCCGACGACTGCTGCACCTGTTCGAGTCTGGGTTGTAACGCGTTGTGGACCAGGACGTTGACGGTCACGTGTTGATCCAGTAACTCGAACACGTTCCACCAACCATACAATAGTGGACTGATGACAATTGAAGTGTCTGGCAATAGCACGTGTAGACATGCCAGCCCTGGACATTCCTATGGCTTCATTCCGTTGATTTTCAATAAGTCTCGGCATCTCTAGCTCGATTCCTTCACACGTCCAACAACAAATTAAGACAGATTGACGTTTCACAGTTCATGTACTGCACATTAATTTGAAAACATGCTTTTAAAGGGCTCACACACAATGCTGCACGTGAATATTGGGTTTTTCATGTGCATCTCCTTCAATTTTTTTTTTTTTTTTTTTGCACACGGGCCGATATTTTTTGCGTTTGGGAGCATTGTGTGAAACAATAGTTCATAGTATTGCATAATATTATATACTCAGCCAAATAAAAATTTGACACTGATGAATTTCAACAATTTTTTTTTCTGGTAAGTCAAATAAATTTTAAAGTGTTTCTAACGATAGTAAGTAGTAAGAAGCCTTTAATTTCATAAAATTGTAAAGTCACGTGGATCACGTGACTTTTGAGCATATAAAGATGAAAAACCTGAAAAACACGTGCAAACACAAACTCTTGGGGTCAATCGATGCAAGTTTGCTTAAACTGAACACGCACACGTAACTTGAACTGGAAAAACAAATTAAAATTGTTATTTTCATCTTTGTTAGAAAATGCCGCGCCTTTCAAATGTAGAACGTCTACGTGCTTTAGGTAGGCTCTATGCTGGTCAGTCTGTGGTCACTGTTGCAAGAACCTTTAATTGTTCACGCCAGACAATAATTAATCTTAGAATGAGAGTGCTTCAAACTGGAACTATTGCCGACCGCCCAAGGGCGGGAGCGCCACGTGTGACGTCACTCCAGGAAGATCAAGCAATACGATTACGTCATCTTAGAAACAGATTTGTCACTGCAACCTCCACAAGTAGAGATATGTTTGGTGGAAGGGTAACTGCAGAAACTGTTCGAAATCGCTTGCAGGCTGCTGGTCTTCGAGCTCGGAGGCCCTATAATGGACCAATATTGACACCTCTTCATCACCGTAACCGACTTGTGTGGGCCACAAGACACATAAGATTTACTCAAAGACAGTGGAATTCGGTTGTCTTTAGTGACGAATCTCGATTCACTTTGAGATTTGCCGATGGCAGGGTCTGAGTGTACCGCAGACGAGGTGAACGTTACGCTCAAGTATGCGTCAGAGAGGTTGACCGATTTGGTGGCGGCAGCGTCATGGTTTTGGGTTCTTTTTGTGCACATGGACGTTCTCCTCTTGTTGTTGTCCAAGGGAACTTAAATGCTGTCCAGTACAGTTATCAGATTTTGCAACCTGTTCTTCTTCCGTTTATGCAGAGACATGGGCTTGGACTAACGTTTCAACAAGACAATGCTCGACCCCATACAGCAATAGCTACCCAGAATTTTTTAAGAAATGCCGGTGTCTAAGTCCTGGATTGGCCGTCGCTTAGCCCCGACCTTAATACTACTGAACACATCTGGGACGAACTGGGTCGACGTGTTCGTCAGCAAGTGAATCCACCACTGACGTTGCAGGACCTTCAACATGCTCTTGCTGAGCAGTGGCGACGTCTTCCTCGGGTAGTTAAACTAATTTTCTGAGATCCATGAGAAGATGTTGTGTGGCAGTACGAGACGCTAGAGGAGGCCACACCCGTTATTAAACACTTTATTCCGATTGTTCTGCAAGTCTGTGAATTTCATTTTGGGGGGTACTGTGACATCACGAACGTTATCAATGTCAAGGACTTTCGGCGAGACGTATTCTTGCTTTCTGTTGATGTCAAGGTCGTCTGTGCACAACATAACACTATAATAGTTGCCTTAAACCAAATATTAAAAATCTAGTCCCAAAAATCCCGAGTGTCAAGTTTTTAATTTGGCTGAGTATACATACAAAACCACCTAGTAATAAAATATTTGGGAAAAAAAGTGATGCGTTTCCATGGCGCTCAGTATATTATGCTAAAAAAAGCCCCCACCCCCAATATTTCTTATTACATGTATATGTATTCTGTGTATCACCATATTATCTGCATGTACATACATGTATTGTATATTTTGTTACATGTTATATCTATGTATTCAAACTTTCTGTTTTATGAACTCGCATATATACATAAATCAAAAATACATTATGGGAGATTTTAATAGATAGTTGGCCATTCTTGCTATAACAGTTCAAAAATAGATGATGAAAGAAGAATATATTGAAAATTTCAGTCAAATTACTTTATTTTGAACAAAGTTATCACCATTGTAATTTTTGACTAGAAATAGGATTCAACTCTCTCTTCGCCGTCTCCGAGAATGGGCGATCGTTTGATTGACAGGCGTTAACTCCACCTACATAATCTCGATTATCAAGTAACGTTTTCAATGGCTGTGGTACCGTTAGCCTATTCGGTTTGAGACGGGGTTGCAATTCAATTCGTATCAAATTTATTTTTACTACAAATTAAAAATAAGACTTTTAATATATAGATAAGAATCGAAAGTTTGAAGAAATGGACCAAATCAATGAGGCATATAGCCGACTTCTTGTTAGCCTGTGTGTACTCTTGTACTGTAACTGGTAGGGCTACGTAACTCACGAAGCAGACAAATAGGAAACAGTGATCCAATGATGAGGCTGCAATTCAACTGGGGTGATGTTGGCTGCGATTTTTATCAATTTCCATAATTTTTCTGTAAACGCAAGTGACAAAAGAGCGTATAATACCGACATCCAAAGTCTCATTTTAACCACAACTAAACATAATATATCAAGGCCGTATATATCGAACTTTCAATCAAATTGATTGACATGCGGCCTCGCTTCGTACACTCTATCATTTAGCCTCGATCTAAAATTTCCGGGAGTATGACGTCAACGTAACGGTTAATCTCCGCTTACGACGCCATTTAAAAATTTAATCAATCAATGAAATCCTGTTTAAATCCAAGCCATCCGTGGGTCTACAGAGTTGATTTTGTGCTTGTTGTGTAAATAAAGATCTAATTTATAATTTCTATGACATCTTAAGCCTAAATAAAGACTTGCAATAATCAGATTTAGCTCTTGCATGATGTATGTTTAATCTTTTAACTACTGATTTGTATCCTATTATTTCCTCTATTTGGGGGGATTGGATGGCCGAATGGTTAGCACGTGCGCACTGCGCTGTATCAGTTTTTTCAGGGTCCTCCCACTGCTAAAGATCCCTACGCGCAAGCAAATTATTGAAATAAAATTGAACCATATGTTAGTCCCGAAATGATCTAGTTTGTGTTGAGTGGACGTTAAAGCCCATTTCTCTCTCTCTCCTCTATTGTAAATTATTGTGATGTGTTATTTAATGTATCAGTCCATATCTTTTGGAATATATTTTCTATGAAGGGCAAAATGTTAGAAAGGCTATTATAGCCTAATCTTCAACCCTTCTTAAAGACAGTCATTATTATTATTATTTGAAAAGCTACAGACTTGGCATGAATCGGGTTATTCCAAGTTTTGTTTATGGGAAAGCGGGAGAAATGGTGTTTAACGTCCACTCGACACAACCTAGGTTATTTCAGGACTAACATATAATTCAATTTTATTTCAATAATTCGATTGCGCGTAGGCGACCCTACTCCTTGTCACGTACAATCAAGGAATACTCTGCAGCATGTGCATAAGGTATTTTACCTTCGAACTTGAGAGGCTGTGGTCAAGTTTTATCCAATTCTATTCACGTCAACTTCTTGCTGTTCACATGATCAAAGGAGGTCCCAGTTGTTCAATTAAATATGCGCAGATAACGATGCTGTGCAATACGAGTCGCGCGAAAATTCCCAGTTCAATGTGGGTGTACAACAAAGGGAATAAAACCTCTGCAATTTCTAATAATAGACCTACGGGTGGATTAAGGACATTTAAAAATTGTGGACTATATGTATGACAAAATACTCCTATATGGTATATGGACATATAAACAGAGCAAAGTATTTTTGTATTGAGATTTTTATTTCTTTTTCCATCCATTGTTATTAATAGAAGTTTATTATTTTTCTTAAGAATACACAATTAGTTTGGATTTAATTGATCTCTGCACATTCCACTGTTAGTACATGTCAAGAATCCATTACATGAACCTATAATAAATGTTGGTCACAACTGTTGCAAATTGGCCCATTTAGTTCTGATTTCATAAATATAAAATTATGTTGTAATTATCTTTTAATAAGATATGTTTAATTCTTGGTCATTAAGAATTTAGTGCAATGCACAAAATGTTTCAATGATTTTTTGTCAAGTTATATAACAGATTCAAGTAGACAGGGTAGGGAACCCAATATGAAGACCTCAACAAGCAAATGTTTTATTATTTTCTACAAAAGAACTGTCATACAATAAATATTTTGAAGCAGCCAGTTTATAGTTTGGAAAAGTAAGAAATAAAATCTACATTATTTGAATAATCACTTTTTGCAACTTATTTTTTTTTTTTTCAAATTTAATAATTACTCTTTAATATAACAATTTCTCAAATCCCCTCACAGCTCGTATTCAAGACGCGAAGGCTGTCACTTCATTAGAATAAATCTATTTGGGAATAATAAAAATTGATAAGTGCAAACTCTCGATACTACCATTTTAAATACCATGAACAATATCCTATTCACATGAGAAAGTCTTGAAAACAATGAATATCCAAATATCTGAACAAATTTCAGATGTTAAATTACAAAAATATTTTGCCTAATGCAGCTATTTCAATAACATTTGTAGATATTTATTTCAATAAATTTAATCAAACTGCTTTTTACAAAGCGTCAAAAAATGATGCAAGTGCATGTATTTATCACGCTCCTTCAGTTCTACACAGGATTTTGAACTTTTTATCCCCTACATTGTCTAGAGGATGGGGTTTTATGACTATGTCTCGAAGAGGAATTTGGTAAGAACTAACCCTTACCAACAAATATAATATAAACAAGTGCTAGAAATCAATTTGTCTAAATAAAATATTTTTGATTAACTACTTTATTACTAGCCAGTACAGGTAGAATGGTCTTTGATTGTGGAAGATGATAAAATCCTGCACCATGACATATATATCAATATTTATGCCTTAAAAGTTGGGCTCACATTCCATGTCATCTTTTTAAGGAGTCCTGTATTAATAGTTTCCAGAGTAGCCATAATTATATTAAGTTAACTGTGGTTGTCCTGTAGATCTCAATGACAAGTTTTCTTTTCTTTATATGATTCAAGAATGTAAGTACAAATCAATGCAAAATGTGATCCCAACATTTAAGTAGAGAATTCAACATGAATCTTTAAGTGAGAAAAGACAAAACAACTTATAAAGTAACTTCCATACTCAATATCGGATGTTCAAATCATTGATTCTCCATTGAAATATATTTATCTTACCAAAATATATTCAATTCACCAAGATGTTGATAGGTTAACATTTCTGATAGATTTCTGGCAATTTAGTAGAATTTGTTTTAATTTATGTACAAAACAAAATAAATAAGATTACAATTAAAGAGAATAAAAGTTTATTTGGTGAAGTTTTAACCACTTGAGCCAAGAAAATTAGCACAGCCATACTTCACTTTCACAAATTCCTGGATGTTTCATTCAACATTTAGTGCAATTTACCTGTGTAGATTGACAAACATCGAACCAGCCGTTTCAACTATTCCCAAATAGTTTGAATTTTTTTACCAAAGACAACACAATTCATTTAACAACCACCATTCCCCACATTTCTTATAGACCTTTGTCTAGACACCCAATTTATATATTTGTGAAAGTGATGTAATGCTATATAATGTTACATAAATTCTGAAACCACGGTTTGTGATGCTACAACCCCATAACACTACATAAATTCTAAACAAATAGATGTTTTATACATTTGGTAGTGCAAAATAGCACTGAATAATTTGTAACAAGAAAAACAGTTTCGCATTTTGCTGTAATAAAAAATTCACAAAATGGAGGACTTCTTTTTTAACTAGCACTTAACAATTTTAACAAACGTTTTATCTCTGAATGGTTTTTTTGCTTTCATTGGGCACATTTGTCGACACACAAGAACTGCACCTGTTTCTGTTGAACTCATCAAATAAAGTCCTTTGGCATTTTATTATCCATATTTGTGAAGCATTTAATTGATCAATCAACGGACATCTTCAATCAATCCCTTTTCAGGCAGACTTACTGAATTTATAAATCAGAACACCTTAAATGTAGAAGATGCAATCCATAGAGCAGTCCAAAGAACTTGTCTTAAGCAATTCTGCATGACGACCAATGTGTCAAATAATAAACCACCACAAAAAGCAACCAAATACAAAACCATGGGATCCCCATTTTTCATAATATTCGTACTCAAGATGTCAAAAGCCCTAAAGCATCAATTATTTGGCGGGATTGTCTCCCCCTGCACCTGCAGCAGCACCTGCTTCAGGATTTGATGCAGCAGCCTCAGCCTCTTGAGCAGCAGCACTGGCAGCTTTCTTCATATTTTTCTTAGATTTAACAAATACATCAGTGGCCAATAATGTCTGAAAAAAAAAATTAGCAGTACTTTTATTTTTCAACAGTAATAAAATAAATGGAACATAAAATTAAAGACTTTATTTTGTTTAGAAATTTCAATACAACATACCAAATCTTTCTTAGCTTTAGAATTCCAACAAAAGCATTCAATTCAACTTCTATAATAATAAAGCCATGGGACATATTCAAGAAAACTTAAAACTAAACCCAAGGAGTCAGTATCTCATTGTTCAGTTTTTAGAATAAAACCCCATTAATTGGATGGATGTCAGTGACTTGGCATACATTGAATAAATTTAATAACTAAAATTTGATAACAAGTGACTTCTTGTTTAATTTTTTAAAATATGAAATAGCCATATTTTGATCTATTTTCTTGTGTTACAATACAATGGAAACATTTCAGTTAGATGAAATTTGATTTGCTTGGAGTCCACTGTTAGTTTTGACAACAAAAAATTTGTGACATCACTGACAAGTCTGACTGTTTATGTCGGGTACTAACAGCTCTCTATTAAACAGAAATAAATTCACTTGCTGAGTTAGACAGTTTCGACAAGATTATCGAAAGTGAAAGTACTGGGAATACCCACCAGAGTCCAGTCGAGATAGGTAAATTCGGTACCGGTAATTTATTGATCTTCAAGGAAATAATAGTGGTCCCGACATCGCTAGCCATTTTGAAAGGCGTGCATAATTTAGTACACAAGATATGATTGGACAATACATGAATAATAATGACATGTGTTATAATTTTAGCCAATGAAAAAATTGATTATTCAGGTTCGCGGTTAAATATTAGTGACTGTCTTACAGTTTATAACATGCTTTCCAATTAGCCAAAATGACCATAACATGCTCCATTTTGTGGAATTCATCCAATCAAATACAGGGTAACTTATTCCACGGTTTGGGGACCCCTACATGTGTATTAACATCTTTAATTCATAACGAGGAATAAACAACGAGAATTGACTTCTGATGTTTGGTAGAATTTTATTTAGATGTTATTAACGTAATTTTTTTTTTGTGTGTTAAAAAGCTAAGAGCATGATTTTCGGGGTCCTCGACCTAAGCGCACATGCAAGGAGAAACAAGGAATCAATTCAACACGGCTTAAATAGATCACACAAATGACAATTATAATCGAAGTGTTCACGTCCCAAAGGCTGAGCAGAAAATGCAAATTAGGACAACTACCCCTTTACCCAAGACAGATATACAAGCATGTTTTTGAAAAATATAATTAATTGCTACCTTAAGTTCCTCATCTTGAATAGAATGTTCACTTTCATACAGCGTAGGATCAAAGGGTAATTCTGTGGCCTGTACTGTACCATTAGGCATTAAAACAACCGTAAACTTAAACTGAGCTACAAGTTCACCTGAAATACAATGATCACATATTGATTAATTCAATACCAAATACACAAATTAAAATATTGTAGATATACAATAAATGTACATAGCATCTAGGGTTACTTTTCTGGAGGGTTGGAATCTCTGTCAATACTTCTATTTAACTTACAAATGAAATTCTTCCACAAAAGTTTAATAGTTAACTGTAAGTTGCGATTACACAATAAAAACATCAAATTATAATAATAAATTTGTGTTACTGCATACCTTCTTTTTCATATAGTACATTGAATGGCTGCATTACATCATGTTTATAACACTCTACAACACCCATTCTAGCTGTCTTCTCATCTTCGCATAAACTATAATAATAAAAAATACAATTAATAATGACTTTATTTTATTATATCAGTCATGTCTTCTGTGATCTATGCTGAACAGTATGTAAATGTATTTTATAGCCTAGTTTATTTCACACGGGGGTCACAGTGGCTAAGTGGGTAAGGCGCTGGCTCGCTAGCCTGGAGGTCGGGTGTTCGATCCCTGCATTGGCCGAGAAAGTTCATCCCGATTTTCCGGCGTGGTTTCCCCTTGTCAGTGATGCAGGACGGAGGGTCTGACAAGGACAGCTGTCTAGTCATTCGGATGAGACGAAAAACCGAGATCCCGTGTACACATTGGCGTGCACATAAAAGATCCCTTGACAGTTGGAATTCAATATAAGAGTAGGTCGTAGTGTGGCTGTCCGGGCAAAATTTCCCTCATAGCACACTGTATGGCGTATGCCCGTCTTCATTAGCCCAGTTCGGAGCAAAACAGTAGGACGTTAAACCCCATTTCATTTATTTCACACAAAGCTCAAAGTTAAGACGGTATGACTCGACACCGTAACTCAATATAGTGATCCAAGATGTTTCAGCTCTTTTACATACAGGTGTTCAGTCAGTGGTCAAAATCAGCTATACTCACAATGGCATGTTACAAAATTATACAGACATCCATTATCAATGCAATGTTTCAAATGGACATTCTGATGACTAGCACAGAGGTCAGACAATATAAATTATACGGTAAACAAAAACAATTGAAGTTCACATAGTATATGGGTCACAAATGGCACCAGTCATGGTAATCGTAATGTTATTCAGATAAAAAAAATAATTATAAAATACATACCTTAATGAGAAAGGAAGAAAACCAAATTTTTTATTGACTTCGGTTAAAAATTCTAGAAAAAGAAGTGATTACTTTATTAAACATACATTATGCAAGAGCTAAATCTGCCAATTGCAGGTCTTTCTTTAGGCCGGAAATGTTATCTAAATTATTAATTAACTTATCCAGACCATAATCAACTCTCAATGGCATCGCTAGCCTGCGATATTTACTGGATTAGAACTTGATCTGCTGCTTCTGATTAAATCAAAAAATGGATAATCGAGACTATGTTTTTCATCGTACCGACTTTAGTAATGATGATCGAAACTAGGCCCAAAATTCAATCGCTAAATACTCTGTTCGGGATGGATAAATATATCAGAAATTTTCAGCAAATTCCCTTTACATTATCTAGTTTTTAACTATTATAGTGAGAACTACCAGTTCTTTATATAATCTCCAATAATGTATCTTTAATCAATTCAAATAACATTAGCAAGACCTTTTCATTAAAAATTATCTTGCATACATAACTGAAATCTGACATAAGTTCCAAATTTTAAGTTCTGATTTCTGTCAAACTTATATTTTAAGACAGATCTGAACTGAAACAGCTAGACTATGAGTCAGAAATTTTTTAATAAATCAGCTAATGAACAATAGTGACCAACTTACGTCTGGATGTTCTCATCTTTAGTTGATAACTACAATCCCTCTTTTTATAAACAGTGGTCCTGGTGTCCATGTCTTTGCCCTACAGCACAAATAATTCATGGCATTTACATATATACTATTCAAAAAAAGTAGGGGATATTTGATTTTGGGGGTATAATACTAAAATATGCAAATGACTACGAAAAAAGTCACTATAGAACCTAACAGAAGAAACATTTCCAGTTACATGTGACGCCCAAACGCACCAATAGCTACCGCATGGAATGCAGGTGATGCTTGGGATCATCATGGGGGTCCAACCCAAGATTTGCACGACTCTGACTTTGAATGTTACAGTCATTGTGGCATTGAATTCCAGGGTGGAAACATCAGTTTAATTGTTTTAGTGACCAGAAAACAAATTTTGATATGCGTCGGCTTACCCAAAATGAAAGGTTACGTGCCCTTGGCATGCTACAGATCGGCACAACACAGGCGGTTGTGGCGCGGACGATGAATGTTTCTCAGTCTGTCATAAGCAGGCTATGGTCCAGATACCGTGATACACAATCTGTACAGGACAGACCACGCTCAGGTCGACCAAGGGCGACAACTCAAGCCCAGGATCGATTTATCCGTACCTTGGCCTTGAGAAATCGTGTCATTACAGCAAATCAGATCAGCGCTCGTCTTCAAACAGACACTGGTGTGAGAGTGAGTGGCCAGACGATTCAGAATCGACTGCATAGGGGTCACCTTTGCGCCCGACGTCCTCGCGTGATCCCTTGTTTGAGAGATCATCACATTCAGGCAAGACGTCGTTGGTGTAGGGATCGTCAACACTGGGATAATCGACGCTGGAGCAATGTGATGTTTTCAGATGAGTCAAGGTTCACTGTTGATTTTTTGGACAGACGTAGGAGGGTGTGGCGTCGTCGAAACGAGCGCTTCCAAAACGTTAACGTCATCAGACATGATCGATTTGGGGGTGGTTCTGTTATGGTGTGGGGAGGCATCACTGTTGCTGGAAGAACGGCTTTACATGTTGTTGCAGGGCGTGTTACAGGCCAGTACTACCGGGACAACATCTTGGCAGTCCATGTTGTGCCGTTCGCACGACGTCATGGCCGCCGTTTCATCTTCCAGGATGACAATGCAAGATGTCACAGGGCCAGGATCGTTACAGGTTACCTGTCTGGGACATGCTTGGGCAGAGGTTACGTCAACGTCAACAACGTCCTGCCAATGTCCAAGAACTTGCTGCTGCGTTGCAACAGGAATGGGACAATCTGGACCAAAACGACCGTAGACGTCTCATTAGGAGTATGCCACGTCGGATCAATGCTTGTTTGGCAAACAGAAGAGGATTTACCCGTTACTGACTTGGTTGTGATGCTGTGGTAACTTTGCTGTTTGACCCCGGGTATCATTTTGCCCTTATAATGGTCAGTCTGTGCCTTACTTAGTCTAACGATCATTTGGAATAAATCGATGAATGTGAACTTCATTTCATTTTGTCATTTGTTTCTTCGTCAGTTTCATTAGGTGACTTTAATAACACTTAAAAATCAAATATCCCCTACTTTTTTTGAATAGTATAATATTGAGAAATTAACAATTACTTCCAACTATGAAAATCATTTTTAAATTTTAAATATTCTTGAGACAATCATTTAAAAACTGATTTGTAATAATTGTAATATTGTTTAAATATTGAAACCTACCTTTCCTTTACCAGTACTGACAAGAACATCTACACCATAAACTTCATGTACTTCAAACGTACATTTCTCTAATTCTTTTCTACAAACACAACATTTACAGTTACAATTTGATCATTCGTTTATACAAACTTATCTTTTTGCAATTTAAGATCAAAGTTAACTTGAACATTTCAGCATAAAATATTATTTTCTTCCAAAATTATCTGAGCATCATTTCTATGCATTTGATATCTTATAGACAACTTAGTTTCTAAACATCATTTGAACAAATCCTTGCAAACTACAATATAGTCCAAAAATTCATGGGTTCCATGTCGGCCGAATATGCCAGTCTAGACCTTGAGCTATGTAAAATGGCCGTAACTAGATCTGACCCATCTATCATTTTGCCCGCCAGAAAAATAGCCTTTTTTTCAAAACCCAATTTTTAAACATGGCTAGGTTCAACCTCTACTATAACTATAAATTTGTATGGCCAGTACAGAATAATGCACACATTTTGAATCCACATAATCTCATGATTGGTGTGATAAAAATGTATACAGTCATCAACAGATTATACTAAGTGTTGTGTTGGTAATTAATGATGAGTGTCTGGTAGTAGAACAATAAAAGTAGATTGATATGTGGAAATTTTATCAAAGGCGTGAAGCGGTTCATTCAAAGTTATTGCATTACCACTCAAAATTATCCAGGTCAGGGTGTTTTCTATAGAACATGTGGTAACACGTGTTAAGCTACTGGGATGATTTTTCAATGGCCAATTCAGCTATTTCGATTATTTAAGTAGCCAAAAGGAAATATTTCATTAATTAATAACTATCCAAACTCTTACTAATATTTCAGTTTTTAAATCCAAAATTTAATTTTTTGTGTACCCCATGCTGAAAAAGTGGTATAGACACGTGAATTCACAATACCCTACCCTCTATATATATATTTGTGACTGTCGTTTGTCTGTTCGGGGTTGGCGGCTACACTAGGTCTGCCCCGAGTCTGAAATTTGGGGTATAGGGTAAGCTCGGACCGGGGAGTAACATAGGCCAGGTGGCGTTACTCTACCACTTCCGGTTTCGGAGTTATGACCCCCGAGTGAAGTCGGTCTGTTCGGGGTTGGCGGCTACACTAGGTCTGCCCCGAGTCTGAAATTTGGGGTATAGGGGTAGCTCGGACCGGGAAGTAACATAGGCCAGGTGGTGTTAGTCTACCACTTCCGGTTTCAGAGTTATGACCCCCGAGCGAAGCCGGTCTGTAATTTGGGGTATAGGGGTAGCTCGGACCGGGGAGTAACATAGACCAGGTGGCGTTAGTCTGACACTTCCGGTTTCGGAGTTATGACCCTGAGCGAAGCCGGGTATCCTGCTAGTAAATAATAAACATGAAATATGAATATATTTTGCAAAGTTTAGTGCATTATAAAAAATGACCAATAGTGAAAATTTTTAAGTGGAATCCCTGGTTTAATTGATAAGTTGTAAACATTGCAAAGATCTTTTAATTGGCCTTTTATTAATCAGATGGAATGCAATCAGTGAGATTATCTACATTTTAATTTGTTTTTCTTCGATTTATTTTAAAAAATTAATTTCCATACATTAGTGAGTGGATTAAGCCATTTGATATTTCAAAACAATGCAAATGGTACATTGACTTTAGAATTCAACTGTGGTTGCCATTGAAACAATTGGACATTGAGTAAACAAAAGTATGAAATCTTACTTCTGTAAATCTGATGGATTAATTATAAAAGCTTTCTCTCCATCAATTACATTCCTCTTTAACTGGTGTGATAACATACCTGTAATAAACAAAATTAGATATGGATTATACTATTTATAACCAGGATTAAATGAGATTCATGAATTAATATCCAGTCAGCACATATTTTTCAAAACATTTTATGCCTAACATGATAGGCTATTATTTGTATTGCATTATAAGATAAGATTTATTTTTGTAAATTTGGCCTAGGCAGAAGAGTTTCAAGTCTGGTCGTTTTAAAATTCAATACCAATGTACATAGTTTGTACCTTCAATAGGTTTACAATCAAACGACTCTGCTACTTTCTGTATCGTTTCTGTTACTGTAAAATTCTGAAAAGGAGAAAAAATCCATAGATATCTCTATGTCAACATAAATATACAAGTAAATAACTGTTTACTTAGTTTTGCCACATTTACTATTTTTCCACATCCAATTATATGGTAGACAAATTTGTGAAAGTATTTATTTTTACACGATTTCATTTATGAAAAGACTAATACAATAACTAAATATTCAACCTTCCCTGCCCTTTTAAACATTAGTTCAATGTCCAAAAAATCTATACCCAAAGAGGAACAGGGATTACAGTTCACTTCAGATTAGCCCTATATTATGGTATGTTTTTATTTCGATAATTTTCTAGCAAGCATGGATTTTAAGCAGTGAGATGGAAACAAGATTCTCCTGGAGGCACGCCACAAGGTTTGGAAGTCAACCCTACTCCTCGTTATGTACAACACTTTGTTCAAAACCACACCATTTCGACTCAATGACAGCCCCCCTTTTTTTAAACAATATTTTTACTCTGGATGTCTGAATGGGATTGGGTACCCTCAACTTACTTCATTACCGGGTTTAACTAATCTTAAAGCAGCTTGTGAGGCATTGTAAGCAGCCAATATAACATCAGCCTTACGACCTTTAACCTTGTTTTCCTGTTAAATAAAAATATAAAATATGATAATAGTCATTGGATCACGTAAAAAGTATTATGTATGCAATGAGAACAAAACATAAGTCAGAACAATTCCCATGAAAGCAGCATGAAGAGCATAAGTGAGAGTGCTTTTTACCAGATCTGTATGTACATGTAGTACAGTGGTTCAGACTCAAATTTTTGTCCTTATAAAAACTGACCCACTTATCTGTCTGATTGCATCTTCCAGAAATTTTCTTAAGTGTGCAAAGTTTAGTCCCTCGCACGTGGGTTCAGAGGTCGCAGCAAATATACGTCACACAAGGTATTTTACAAACATGTATTGGTATATAAAGCCAAGTAAAAAATACACTCATTACGCACTTCAACTTTATTTAATAGCGAACGTGAGCAAAGATTTCCATTGCACTGTTTGATTTATTTTTTGATTTTGGCGATTTGGGTAATTTTAGTGCAGAGCTAGACGTGTTCAGTTATTAAAACAAGAAATTAAACACTTACAAATTAGATGATTCTTGGTGATTTTAAATGATTTTAATGAATTTTCAAACAAAGTTTGGATATTGGATGAATGTTTAAGAAATCAATGCTAAACAAGATTAAATGATACCTGGGTTAAAATCATAAAGTTTAAAATTATAAATTTTAAGAGTGATCAACAGCCTGCCTCTTATGATAATAATTGACTTTTACCAAGGGGAGCTACCAATAGCATACCTTACGAGGCCATGATGGTTTTGAGACTAATAAGAAAATAATATTCCTTTAATAAACAAACAGAACCACAGCTGACTCAAAACTCAATTTGTAATTGCTTCCAACTAAATTCACCAATACTTACAGGAGTAGCTCCAACTACTACTGTGTAAGCAGCAACAGCTATATATCCATCTATCTGAGCTCCTAAATCACTGAAATAATAATATTTGTTGCATAACCTCGAAGTACACAGTCCCAGAACATATCAATTAGTATTACCACCTTACAAAATGTGCCACCTCAAGAAATTAAATCCTACAGTAATTAATATTGGGAAAATGGTTAGGCTTTGTAAGATTTAGATATTTAACCGGATAAAAAAGAATAGGGAGGTGGGAGAGAGAGATCAAGTAAAGAAGGGCATACACCATACAGTGTGCCATGAGGGAATTTTTGCCCGGGCAGCGGCACTACGGCCTACTCTTATATCAAATTCCAAGTCCCAGGGGATCTTTTACGTGCACACCAATGTATACGGGACCTCGTTTTTTTGTCACATCCAAAAAACTTGACATTGTAATACCCTCCCCGTCCTGCACCACTAACAAGGGGGAAACCACGTCGGAAAATCCCAATGAACTTTCTTGGTCAATCCCGGGATCAAACACGCGACCTCCAGGTTAGCAAGCCAGCATCTTACCCACTGTGGCTCTGACCAATTAACATGGTATTTCATTGACTCACATCATTGCAGGGTTTTTTTTAGTTAGCAGTGGGAAAGAGTAGAAGAATCTGGGTTAAATAACAAACACACTTGTGATGGTAGTTTCAATGGCTAAGTCCACCAATTTTTTAAGTGCATGTTTCAAACACAATGCCTGTAAAGATTCTAAAGAACTGAACAAAATAGTACAAAAGTTGGGGACTTACACTTTAACTAAGTCACCATCTTGAAGTGTGACATCAGGATCTGTCTTCAAAGGGCTAAAATGACAGATACAATTATTGACTGAAAGGCATACTGGAAATGCAATACCTGAAAAATAAAAAAAATTGGATCTCGCATTACAGCTATACTAAAGGTTTAATCTCGACTTTGAAGTATTAAGATCATTTCAGAACATGATATGTCTCCATTTTAGGATAGCAAAATACACCCACATTTCCATGTAGGCTTATAAAAATATTAGAAGGCAGCTACATACGATTGGTTAACTTAAATGAAAACTACTAAGTAGAAATTACAAGAGATGGCACAATGTAAATTTCCAAATGAATGTTGAAAGAAAAATTTAATTTGATTGAATTTTCTAGAACTTATGATTGAATAGGGTTATGTTATATAATACAAGTTATACTTTTTTAATATATGGCCAGGCTTACATACAAGACTATAGCATCGCCAACACTGCAATATATGTCCACATTCCTGCTTTCATTGATATGGTACTTTTTAAAATGAAGAAAATGATATATAAAATAGCTTCACTGACTGTAATATGACAAGTGGCAAAAAGGGCTAGGCGTTGGGTTTGTTTTGCCAAATTAGGGACTAAATATTAACAGGGGGGCGGGACATGCACAAAAAAAAAAGTTGCGGTCTTTCCGGTATAAGGATCAAGCCAACAGTGAGGCTGATGTTCTCCGCTTAAATCACAAAATAAATAGACGACACATACTAATCACACATTTATTTTTTTCAAAAGTATCAAGAAATCAAACTGATTAACAACTATACACTTAAGTGTCATCACTCTCTATCAGATAGAAACAAAGTTATCTTGTCTCAAAGCATCAGCAAATGAAATGGCTTAGCTCTGCTTAGCTTTAACTCGAAATGTTAATCATTGAACTCAGTAACGAACATCTACATCAAGTTTAAACATTCTACATGTACCTCAATTAAAAGCAGAGTTGTTATGTTTCAAAGTCTTGACCAATCAAATTGCTTATCGCTCCTTAGCCTAAGCAGAAAAATCTCATCATTGAACTTAGTCAAGGTAATGATATAATGAATCTATGCTCAGAGTTTCATCACTCACAAAGTTATCGTGCCCCAAAGCATCAACCAGACAACCAATCAGATTGTTATCTCCGATCTCCATCAAGGCATTGACCTAATGAACACCTACACCAAGTTTGAAGATTCTAGCTCAATTAGGAGGAGAGTTATTGTGTTCCAAAGTCTCGACCAATCAAATTGCTTATCGCACTACTTACCCTGAGCAGAAAACATTCATTATTGAACTTAGTCAAGGTATTGATGTAATTAAACTATACACCAAGTTTTACCACTCAATTAGAACTAAAGTAATTGTGTCCCAAAGCATCAACCAATCAAATTGCTTATCTCTGCTTACCCTAAGCAGAAAATGCTCATCTTCGTACTAATAAACACCTACATCAAGCTCAATATAGAGAGTTATTGTGTCCCGAAAAGTGACGACAGACCCATTTTAATAGTCCATTGCTTTCTTCAAAAGGCTGGGGACAACAAAATAAAAATAGGATTTTGAAATGACGGCCGAATAATTCTGTGACTTTATCTTGATTAACTCCTGGGAAAACGTTTTCGTGATATCAATACTGTACCACATTCAATGTTAAAGCATGGATTTTGAGGTTATTTCAATTGAAGTCTGCGCCCTCGATCTCTTTAAATGGAGAATACTTTCAGTCATACTTCTCGGGAAAGATAAAATAGTCCACTGGAGAAGGCATTTTGGTCGTAAGAGAGATTGACAGCAAAATTGCAGAATAACAATTTAACAATCTAGTATTCAGTGCCATTCATGATTGTCAATAGTGTTTTCCGTGGTTACATACTTGATAGCTGGGTCTAGTCTTCAGTTCCTTTCCAAGAAACAATAGTTAGGCCAAAAAAAATGAGGGTTCTGTGTCCTGTAATGGATGGAAAATAGGGTTGGGTCGCATTTTTTTTTCTTTCTTTTTTTAATGTTAAATTGTTAGATCTAGTAGATCTACATACTTGTTAGCTGGGTCTAGTCTTCAGTTCCTTTCCAAGAAACAATAGTTAGGCCAAAAAAAATGAGGGTTCTGTGTCCTGTAATGGATGGAAAATAGGGTCGGGTCGCATTTTTTTTTCTTTCTTTTTTTAATGTTAAATTGTTAGATCTAGTAGATCTACCGTAGAATAATATTCTTTGTGAAAATCTTTAATTTTATGTTAGGTTGAGTCGGCGCAGGGGAGCATGAAGCACGAATAGATTGGTGGATGGAGTTCTTGGATAATTGTTTAAAATGTGTCAGAGGCTAGTTTATGAAATTAAATATTCTCTTAGGGGCAAATAAATATTTTGTATGCCTATTTCAGTCGACTACTGTCGAGTAACTATGAGTGATAGACGCTTGACACCAATAAAAAAGTTGAAGGGGATAAGTTGGATAATTGTTTAAAATGTGTCAGAGGCTAGTTTATGATTTAAATATTCTCTTAGGGGCAAATGGAATTCTTAATCGCTCTATGCTAAAAAAAAAAAATAGCGGAGGCCATTTTGTTCAAGGGAAAGAACTTGCGATGAAAACTTAAAAAATCATATCGTGCCGTTGCACGAAATAGGTCCGTAATAAATTTATTTGTCATGTTGTAAATACCAATCGGGCAGATCATATCCACCTGTTTGAAATATAAGTTCACCTGTTTTTGTCCAATCGCGTGCCGTCACTTATGGTAGTTCTTAACCCTTAACCGGTCAACGTCATTTTCACGTCATGACGTCAAGTGGTCAGGCTAAATAAATATTTTGTATGCCTATTTCAGTCGACTACTGTCGAGTAACTATGAGTGATAGATGCTTGACACCAATAAAAAAGTTGAAGGGGATAAGTTGATCTATAATTTGCAAATCATTCCAAGTCCTTTTCATCAAAAATATCGTCTTCAGAATCGATGTCATCGATATAATCCGAGTCGGAATCATTCATAAGTATTTCAACCACTTAGAGCGTCTTTAACGTTCCCGACATCGTTAAATCACGTTTTTCGTCAAAAAATGTTAAACAAAGACATGTTTTTCTCAATGCCCTTGACAAGACAACTCCCTGTCTGACACGCATGCGTTACCATATCAATTAATTATGAAACTAAATAGGTCGGTTGGGTTACCGGAAACAGAACATTTTTTTTTTGGGGGGGGGGGGCTTAATTCTCTCGATCGAAAGGTAATATGAACATGCGGAAATTATTATTTTTATTTATTTTAAAACGTGGCAGTATCAGATTCATATATTTTGTGTGGCCAAATCAGGGGATGAAGTAAGTATGACAAAGTACAGGAAAAGTATTGCTGAAATATACCTTTCTTTATTGATTTTTCTTTTTTGTATATTTTTGATGTTTCTTCTAGAATTCTATTGTTGCCATAACCACAAATTTCATGAACTGAGGCACCAGGCTGTATCTTTTGCAAAATTTCTCCAAAAACAGCTGCAAAAAAAGAAAAGTACATGTAACTTCATTAATTTGACAAACATCATAAACATGAGCCTCACACTAGTATTGCACACTATTGTGAAATAGGTCCAGTTAATAATACTGATTAGGCCTAATAAAATTAATGTTTGTAAGTACAAATAATAAATGCTAGTGACTGGTAAACCGGATTATATAATTATGCTAACCATATAATCTATTGAGATATGAATCATGAAAGTGACACATTATGTATGAACCATATGTGACCTAGCAATGTGCCAATTGAATGTGTCCTGTCCATTCAACTCATGACTTCCCTCACAAACATAAGTTATAACATTTTTCTTTTTGTAGAAATATAAAAAAATATAAGTAAATTTTATTCAAACATCATTAATAACTGTTGGTAATTGTCTACAAAAAAGATACACATGTTCACATATTAAAATCATGTCAAATATATCTGAAAATTCGATAGATAAGCCTCATCCGTCCACAAATGTTGTTATTTTACAGAAACGGCATGGGGACCGCATGGCTTCCAACCAGCTTGAACAATACCGGCCATTTATCCATGAAATGTAATCAAGTCGCTTCACGATTTCATGAAAACTTTATATATTCTAATTCCCTGTAATAGTTGCAAACTTTCCATACTTTTGACAATGACCCCAGCGGCTTTATATTTCTTTAAAACGTCTTGTTTTGCTGGAGTTGGTTCTTGCTCTTCAGAATCCGCCATTTTGCTTTCTGTACAGGTGACCAGAATGCAACGCGACGCGCGAAATGAACTTGAAAAAAAAAAATAATTCGGAAGTCATAATTTCCTTTCCTTCCGATCGTCAAAAAATGGAATAGTCTCCCCTTTCCCCTAATGTCTAAATCGAAATGAAATGTGTGTAGGAAATAGCTTTATTTAACGTCCGCGTCCACCGAGTTGATATCGCAGACAAAAATTAAATGTGTGTGAAATTATAGGTTTATTTAATGCCCGCTTCTACCGAGGTGATATCGCAGAAAATTAAATGAAATGAAATACAGTCCGTCCGTAAACAATTTGTTTGTGGACACTCTACTACTGTACTAACTAGGTCACAATTTTTACCCGATTTTGACAAAACTTGAAAGATCTCGGTTCCTTTCGATATTGACATGTATCGGACCATAACTTCATGGATTATGTCCCCTGATTGTACGATCAAAATCACGTTTTTAGCTTGTGGGCACTCTAGAGGTCACAATTTTGATCCGATTTTGATGAAACTTGAAATGCATGTTTATAACCCCAAGATCATGGTTCCTTTCAATATTCGCGCATATCGAATCGTAACTTCAAGAATTATGACCCTTGATTGTACGAAAAATCGCGTTTGGGCCTATAGAGGTCAAAATTTTTATCCGATTTAAAAAAAAAAACCTGTGAATATATCACAGTTGTACACTAATGATGGTTAAGTTCGAATTTCGTGAAAATCGGACTAAAACTGGCGGACAAAATGGCCGCACCTCCCCTTGTACGCAAATAGTGTAAAAAAATATGGTATATCAAGCACTCGACAAACCTCAGAGGATTCCGTTACTCTCAGCTGTATGGCAATCTGATTAAAACACAGATCCTATTTCGTTTTTATAGATCAAAATTTCGTTTTACTTGTCTTTACTACACTAGGATCTGGAAGAGTTGTTATCATTGACGTGTTCTGAATGATGTGAGGGAATAGCCAATGAAACGGTCTGTTACAGCGAGGTTTAGGCGTGTTTTGCACGGAACTGTGGGTAATCCACTAGTTACACCAATGCTGATTGGTTAATCAAATGTCTAACCTCTGAGGCGACCTATCACTACAACCGGTCAGATCTTCATGCCATGTAGTGTAGGCCATCGAAAGTATAAAAAACGAAACGAAATATAGATCTGTATTTTAATCAGATTGACTGTAACTATGACGGTAAGTGATATGTACCTACGCGTATACAATTGCGATGCGACACCGGTTTACTTATAACTATAAGGAAAACTTGCCGCTTCTAAAACGAAGTTATCAAAATTGCGTCTTTCGAAACATGTGCAGAATTTTTAGTGCAAAGTTGTCCTTGTTTGAAGAAATTCGGATACACTTGAAAGAAAAACAGCTTCAAACTTTGAAATATTTGTATGATAAAAACATTCTTCAAAGGCGTCGTCATGGGCAACGCCGTTGGTAATCTGGAAATTTGAAAGTAGTTCCAATGGCGGACTTCGTTATACAGCCGAGGCTAGATGTAGGGTACTGTAATATGCTGAGGTTTGCCGAGTGGTATATCAAGTAAACTGTTTCAAGGTTTTAATTATGACCCTCTAGAGGCCACAGTTTTTATCCGATTTGGATGAAACTTTAAATATATGTTTTTATCATAAAGATCGTGGGTCTTTTTGATAATCACACATACTAGAGGTCACATTTTTTTTCCGATTTTAAAAACCGTTTACTTTAGATATATATCCCTATTCCACCATAATGAAGGTTGAATTCGAAGTTCGGGAAAATCGAAATGAAACTGCCCGACAAAATGGCCGCTCTTAATTGTACGCAAATTGTGTATAAGTATGTAATACAAAGGTCACAATTTTGGAGGTCACAATTTTTATCCGATTTTGATGAAACTTAAAACATATCTTTATATTCCAAAAATCTCAACCCCTTTCGATATTTGCGCATTTCAGACACTAATTTTCTTGATTGTGGCCCCTGAGAGTGTACAAAAAATCGTTTTTGTTTTTAGCTTGTTCTCTATCCATTTCTTGCAAAATGTGGGCGTATCCCGCCTGGCAGCCGCTGGTTATACCTTTTATACCCTTTCGGACTACCAATTTAGCCTCTATACACCTTAATTATATCTGGCACTGATAGGTTTGCGAAATGGGGTTTAACGTCCTACTGTTCTGGTCCGACTGGGCTAATGAAGACGGGCATACGCCCTTTGTATTCATTCAAAAATGCACAAGAACAGTAGATCAGAACAAATCCTTCTGAGTCCCTTTTGGTTCCGGATAGAACACATTTACCTATTCAACAAAAACACATTTACCCATGCATTCAACACCTGAGTGGGCCGCAGCACGCCGTTTAGCGATAAAATACAACCAAAGACATGAAATAACTGAAATGTCAAACATTGGTAAAACTAATTGTCACACATTCGATAGTGTACGACATCTAGGCGTATGAGCTGGGGGGGGGGGGGGCTGGGGGACGGCCGCCCCCCCATTTTGGGCACCATATGCTGTGAAAATATGGGAACACAATTGTACTTTGTAAAAGTTGTATAAAAAAAATATTGCGTTCTTGAATGTGTCCAATTTAACAGCGAATTTATTATTATTATGTAACATACTAAGAACCTATAAACTACATTTTTTGGGCACCAACCACCACCGCCCCCCCCCCCAGTCAAAAATTTCCCCATACGCCTATAATGGTACTATGCCATGTGTTTTAATTTAAAGCAGATCTTTCGGAAAATATCGGGAGGGGGGGATACTTAATCCACGCTATATAAAACTGCAGTAATACATTAATTATATCGATGGTAGATAATTTTAATGGCTTGTTTATGGCGCGGCTGTATTCACTGGGATAATTTGCTCAATCTATTTATTTGTGAATCATATTTGGACTTATGTTCTTTTTAGAAAACCAACTTTCACAATATTGTATTTTGCAAGAAAGTTCAAATCTGGAAAATTTCGGCGTAGATTTATTATTATTTCTAGCCATTATCTGAGTTCTATGATAAAAATAATAAGTCACGCCCACACCCACTCATAAAGTGAAAGTAGCTGCGCGTTTACATTCCTTTCTTATTTTTTTTAACACGCGCTTCCGTTTCCGTTTTGTGTATTAATAGTAACACGTATAGCTCAGCAGAGCAGACCGTGCAGCGAAGCGATAACGGTGGACAATATTTACCATTTTAGTTATCTGTTAAACAAACTACAAACATGCCACCGCCGGGAACAGCGCAGGTAAAACCCCCAGTATCCGAGGCGAAAAGGAAAGCTGTACACGAGGACACTCTTATATTCAACGCCGTTAAAAGTTACTTCAAATATGCAGGAGTTGTTCTGTCGGTATGGGGATTTGGATACTTTTCCTTCAGTCCCAGTTGGCTTCTACTTGGTCTTGTCGTCTACATTTGGAAAGAAAAGAATAAAAAGACTCAAAAATTACAAATAGCCATCGCCCAAGAAGCTGCTCGAGGAGAAAAGGAAACTATTTTAGCAAGAGTTGAAGATTTGCCATCTTGGGTAAGATTTATTTATTTATTCATAATCATAAAATAGCTCAGGTGCACGAAACGGGTTTCGTTATATTAACATAGGCATAGGACAGGAAGGGCCAGGGAATATGAATAACAAGTTTTGTTGTTTAATTTTAAAGGAATATAATTTTCGTGTCCAGTAATAGTGCCAGTATAAAAAGTCAACAATTTGTATGCCATTTTCTGAAGGGTTGACCACAATATTTAGTAAAACAACCAATTCAGCGATTTTACCCTGTAAACAAAGCTATTACCATCACATCATTGAACTAGGCTAAAAGTTTAGTAAAAGGCTTAATTGCCTTGAGGTCACTGATCATGGCTTGCATTTTTCGGACAATGTCTGAATTCCTAACAGCATTGGGTGGGGTAGTGTGTGTATTTTGTTAATATTTATTGGGCCCACAAGTTAATGTTAGGACCTACAGCTTTCATGAATGGCGTCTACCAGCGGGTTCTGTTGGCTTACAACTTTTCTTGCCGAATTTTAAACACTGTCGCACACTGATAATCCGCCTTATCCTACTTGGTATTCACCAATCCATGGATCACTGCATTACTTTTATTCGTTTAATAAAGTTTGTGTCCGTCAGTTTCCTGGTATCGTATAAGTACTGTACGAGCAAGGCGATGCAAAAAGAAAAGTATAATCCCGTAGTTGATTACCTTAATGGAAGAAAATTCTATTTTTTTATTGCTAGCATGCAACTGCCCGAAACAGCCATCAAAATCTTCAAAGGGTATATTTATGTTGAGTTGCATACAATAGTATATTTTAGTGGTAATTGACCAATTTTTTGCGGCGTCACAGCCCAACAGCTCTTTGAAAAAATTGGGCCATTGTTTACTGGTACAACTACAAGTATGAGCTAGCAGATACGGAAAGAAAAGTATGATCGCACAGTTGATAACCTTAAAGGAAAGCAGTAGCAAGATTTTAGAAACACGTACATTGCACTTTGATAAAATATTTAAAAATCTGTCAACTGACTGTTATGAATATGAATGTATTTATCGTAACTATACAAAAATAACACTGAAGTTTACGGTAATTACAGCAAATATTTTTGGACATTCACTCATGTGATCAGTTGACTCAAAGTTAAATCTTATTCTTAGCACACACACAGTGATATTGAAAATTATTTGAAAAAAATCATTACAATAGAGGACAGATCCTACATGGGGCATCTAATATCCTATCTGATCCTTAAAAACATCAAGGTGTAATCCATGCAAAGTTGACAATCTTCACACCAGCTTGATATGCGCAGATTACAATTGGCGCACGCAGGGTCCAATCTGCGCGGACAAAGTGGACTCTGCGCTACACAGCAGCACAGATCGGGTGGAGCATGCGCCCAACATGTACATTACAATGAGTAAGCTTATGGCTGCTTAATTTTATGGTGGAGGCGGGTATCTGGCAAGGAACAGCGTCTAGTGGGACAAAAGAAGAATCATTGACAAAATTTGCTGCATAGCACACTGTATGGCATATGCCTGTCTTCATTAACCCAGTATGTGCCAAAATGTAGGATGTTAAACCTCATTTCATTCATTCATTCAATAATTTTATGGTTAATTGCAAAATTGTCCTGCTCTCTCTCTCTCTCTCTCTCTCTCTCTCTGACAAAAGCAAGGCATGTAAGAGAAATAAAGAATTGTTCTACTAATTATATTTATAATGTAAATTGAAACCCAAATTTCACAACTCTCCAATTCTCATAAATATATGTAGGTCAAGTTGATCTTTATCCATTATTAACATTTGTAAAAGCCTGTCTATAGGAATTATATAATACCAGTGCTTTAGCTACAGGCTAAAGTCAGATCTTTATACTGTTTAATCTAGTCATTAAAATAATTATAAGTAATCTTGCACTTGCAGAAAAATTGTAATAACTTGTCAGATCATGTCAAGTTTGGAGTGAACATTTTATGAAGATCCAAGTTTCTCCACAACTTCCACTGTTACTACCATACACAGCACATCCCACACTTTATTGATTATCATATTAATCAGTTGTCCATGGTACAACCCACTACAAATCACAGTCTTTACTTCAATTATTAGATATATGTACATGTAAATGTAGTGTGGCTACTCTTGTCTGTTTAATAAACTGATGTACCACTAACAACAGGTCGAGCAATGTGAGAAAAGTAATAAAATTTAATTTACTTTGACTTTGATATTACTGATTCTATGAATAATGTTGCTATACTAGTCAGTAGAAATATAGCTCATGTATTAATAACATGGAAATAGATGTGTTTACATACAACTACATGTAGATAACTGCATGTGTCATTAGACACAAATTATAATAAGAAATTGTTTTAAAAAATGTCATAAAAATATTTAACAACAAATTGTCTTTTTAGGTAGTAAAAATGTAGGACACTGTACAGTACATGTACATTAATTACATTGTAAACATGAAAATAACCTGCTTCGTACAGAGTGAATAGGCTATTTATAATATGCATTGACAAATGTAAATTTAAGTTTATGAAACCATGTTATGGTACATGTATATTAGATTTAAGAACTCTGTGTAAATGTAAATCAATACATTCTTATCATTGTTTCATGGTGCAGTACTTTTATGGCAGCAACACAGAAAACTTTAATGGTTTCCATCATTTTACTTATTTTAAGTTTTAAATCGCAACATAAAACAACCCTGATCAACAAGAACATTAAAGTAAAATAAATAGGCCAAGAAAATTATCTAGTACTGTTCTAAATAAGCTAGTTATAATATAGTTTAAAAGAATAGTATATCAACCGATGTACAAACATCCATAATACCTGTCAAGGTCAATACTTTTAATAAGTTGTCAAATGTTCAAGTTTGACAATGTTGAGATTCAAGGGGTCATGATTTATTGGTTGTAAAGTATGAATCAGAGACTACCCTGGTATAAATACAACAAGAAGTTTCAGTTACAGTACAGAGACCAAAACTAAATAAATATACAGTGCACTCTGTCACATTCGACCTCTGATCACTCCAGCACTCTGTTACATCCGACACCATTTTCATGTCCCGATTTATTTCCTTATTACTTCAGCCAAAAAATCTCTGGGTAATTCGACCTCTGTACATTCCTGATTACGACATCAATCCGCCGTCCCGTCATACGATTTCCATTGAATCGACACCGTATAATCCGGCCTTCAATCGGTGGGTGTGAAGCAAACACTTACCGATCAATTATTCGTGAGATTAAAACTGGATGGGTGTGAAGCCACAAAAGATTAACAAGCAATCAATCACCAATCAATTATCTGTGAGATTAAAACTCGCTAACGTGGGTCTTTGTTGATTACTTTGATGATTTTAATCTCTTGTACGACAGTTGTAACAAATACTCAAGAATATCCACGAATTTTCCCCCGAATTCACAGTCGTAAAAATATTCCTCGCACCTGCTGGAAACATTCGTTACGCATGCCGATTGAACCTGAATAACCTATAAGTTTGGTCACCCTACGGATGTCTTGGAACCGTGTGACGATGCTCGATTCACAGTCCGGAACGTCCCAAATTGACAGAATTGCAATCGAGTGACGTGGAAGTCAGTCCTGTCACAGTTCTGTTGGTCCCGACGACGGAGGTGGTGTGAGTAGAATTGTGATGTAATTAAACACGGCGAACAGGTTTCGGCTGCATGGTTGGATGAGATATTTATATATCCAGTTGACGCATGCGTTGTAGCCCGAAGTACCCATTTTCACTTGATTGTCAATATTTTTGGGATTGAGAGAATTCAATTCCGGAACGTTCAATCGAGTGCGCCCAATTATCAATGAACAAATGATAGCAAAGACAAGAGTGCGATCAACTTAAGACGGCGAAGAAGACAAATTAATGACAGATTTGACCTATTCAAAATGCCTACGCATGTTAAATGAAATAAAAAGTAATTTAATAAAATTTTGAATGTACAGAAAGGTTTATCCTTTTTAAAGGGAATAACATTCTGGTGATTCGAAGTTCTATTTTCGAAGCTACATTATAAGTTCCAATTTTTCCAGTTTTGAGAAAACTGGGTATTCCGACACTCTGCGTAATCCGACATATTGTAACGATCCCGTACGATGTCGGATGTGACAGAGTGCACTGTATGTATACTTTCTTAACTACATACTAAAGATGTTACTTTCTCAACTATATTCAAATAGAAATATCCTACAGAGAATCAGTACTGTGAATTATGTATGACTTTCATGTATGTCTGTAACTCTGTATGTATGGAGTATATTCTGAGAGAAATAAACCATTACATGTATGTACAAGTCCTCAAAATTTACTAAGAAATATTGAGGCATTACAAGCACTGCGAGGTGAAGCACTACATGCACGTAGAAGCACATTTTTTTGTGGAGTTTTAGCACTAAAGAATTCAACATTTATTGTTGCCCTGATCAAAATTTGCTAAAATGGATACATTTATATGCACCTACTGTATACCTAACATGCAAGATTACATTGATGACCATAGGGAACAAGATTATTGTTAATGTAATATCAGCGCAATGTCAATCTGATCCATCAAGAATTTTATTTGAATTAATGTTGTGGGTATTCAAATTGTTAAACATCAATACAGCTTGCACATTCTTTTGTATCCCAGGTTAAGAAGATGATTTTTTTTGTTCAGTATACACTGTATACAACAGAAACATGTAAATTACTATGGTTCAAAGAACAAACTCTATACATACATGTATATGACAAATTGAGTTTTAGGAAACAGATGAACCTGTTTTGTAATTTAATATATTTGATATTTTAAAGGTTAAACTCTGTTAACTGATTTTAAATGAATACTTTATTTATATCCTGACTTTCTGTAGCATTTAAATTATACTGTTTTTGGATCACAGATATTACACGTTTCCCTTAATACTTTTAGAGTCTTCCTGCTCAGGTATTAATATTTCTTTTCATATGTGACTTGAGTTATACAATTGTATTTAGAGTAATATTATCAGGTAAAAGAAAAACATTCGTGAGATTGAATTGAATTCAGCATTTCACTTGAACATTCAGGTGGTAGTTTATATTATCATGCAGGCTTGTAGTCCACAATAAGCCATTAGGTTTGAGTGTGACATATTTATGAACTACATGTATAAAAACAAAGAGACACACCCATGTCCATTATGTTATACTTTAACGTACTTGTGTACAAGTACATGTAGTTGGCTACATGTATGTGTACAAATATATTTGTAATTTTGATTAAGGACAAGAAGAAAAATAACTGTGTTTACGCCTTTACGGTACTTAGACCCCCAAAATAGGGTTGGGTTTTTTCATTGTTTTTTTGTTTTTTTAATTTTTTTGTGGAGTGTGTATTATCTATTTCCTAGCATTTCTAGCTTAATTACTGAGTAAAGTTCTTGAAAACAATACCAAATTTTCAGTGCTGGAATTTTTTATAGAGAAAATCACGCCTAAAGTTTTAAAGCCGAGGAAATAAGAGAATAATAAGATTAGGGTCAGCGATTTGGGCTGTGTTGTGCAGTCAAACAATTTTACATTTTGTATAACTTTTTTTTGTATAACATACATATACAATGTACCTCTATACAAAATTCATATTTTTAGAAATCCATAATACATGCATTATGGATATTAAAGATACATTATAGGAGATTAGATAAAGAGCTGACAGCTCTCACTATAATAGATAAAAACTAGATAATGAAAAGGGAATTGATCCACTCTGAACCGAGAATTTAGCGATTGAATTTTGGGCCTTGCCTCGATCATCATTTCTAAAGTCGGTAGCCTACAATAAAAAACATTGTCTCGAGTATTCATTTTTGTCCCCCGCCTTTCGAAGAAAGCAGGGGACTATTAAAATGGCTTCGTCTGTCTGTCTGTTCATCCGTCCGTCCGTCCGTCCGTCATACTTTTTGGGACACAATAACTCTCCTTCTAATTGAGCTAGAATGTTCAAACTTGGTGTAGGTGTTTATTAGGAGTTCCAAGATGAGCATTTTCCGCTTAGGTTAAGCAGAGATAAGCAATCTGATTGTTTGATGCTTTGGGACACAATAACTTTAGTTCTAATTACGTGAGAGTGATGAAACTTTGTGTATAGTTTCATTACATCAATACCTTGACTATGTTCGATAATGAGCATCGTCTTGTCAGGGTAAGCAGAGCGATAAGCGGGAAATGAAATGGGGTTTAACGTCCTACTGTTCTGCTCCTATACTGGGCTAATGAAGACGGGCATATGCCATACAGTGTGCTATGAGGGAAGTTTTGCCCGGGCAGCGGCACTATCGCCTACTCTTATATCAAATTCCAACGTGCATTCCAATATATACACCGGACCTCGGTTTTCCGTCTCATCCGAAGGACTAGACAACTGTCCTTGTCAGGCCCTCCGTTCTGCACCACTGACAAGGGGAAACCATGTCGGAAAATCTGGATAAACTTTCTCGGCCAATGCAGGGATCGAACACCCGACCTCCAAGCTAGCGAGCCAGTGTCTTAACCATCTAGCCACCGTGGCTCCCAGAGCGATAAGCAATTTGGTTGGTTGAGACTTTGGAACAAAATAACTCCTTCTAATTGAGGTATAATGTTCAAACTTGGTGCAGGCATTCATTAGGTGAATGCCTTGATGGAGTTCGATGATAAGAAGAGATAAGCAATCTGATTGGTTGATGCTTTGGGGCACGATAACTTTAATTTTAATTAAGTGAGAGTGATGAAACTCTGAGTATAGATTCATTATATCATTACCTTGACTAAGTTCAATGATGAGAATTTTCTGCTTAGGCTAAGGAGCGATAAGCAATTTGATTGGTCAAGACTTTGGAATATAACAACTCTGCTTTTAATTGAGGTAGAATGTTTAAACTTGATGTAGGTTGTTTTGACTGAGTTCAATGATTAACATTTTGAGCTAAAGCTAAACAGAGCTAAATACACTAGTAGTGATGAAACTTAGCGTATAGCTTGATTGCTCGATACTTTTGAAAAAAAAAATGTGCTATTAATTAATATGTGTCTCCTATTTATTTTGGGATTTCGGTGGGGTACAACAGCCACACAGTTGGCTTGTTTGATTTAATCCAGTAAATATCGCAGGCTAGCGATGACATCAAGAGTTGATTATGGTCTGGATAAGTTAATTAATGTCTAATTAATAATTTAGATAACATTACAGGCCAAAAGAAAGACCTGCAATAGGCAGATTTAGCTCTTTTATAATGTATGTTTGATATTAATAAATGAAATTAGATACACTAAAAAGAATTCATGATTTTAACCTCTAAGTGTATTTTTATACGCCCACATTTTCATAACAAGCCCAAAATCAACTCTGTTGACCCTCAGATGGCTTGGATACAGCTTGGATTTAAACAGTCGTCCATTTAATAATTAAATCATTAAATGGCTGACTAACCTAATATTTATCGTTGATCACTGACGTCACTCCCGCAGACAGCCGATGAAAGGACTGATAATCGAGGGTACCATATAGGCATTGAGAATGTTACTTGATAATCGAGAATATGTAATAACTTTGTTCAGAATAAAGAAATTTCTCCCCAAAATTATTTTTTTATCATCTAGTTTTGAACTGTTATATCAAGAATGGCCAACTCTTTATCAAAATCTGAACTAATGTATCTTTAACTACACATACCTGTTGCATTACTGAATGGGTACACATGTGGATTGTGAGAATTGAAATACAATAGTTATGCTATCTTAGTTTGACTAAAACTTTAAAACCTTGAAGTTGTCAGACACTGTGAATCATTGTACATGTATCCTTATTATATTAACGTTTTTTTTGTATATCTTGTTCATTGCAGGTGTTTTTCCCTGATGTTGAAAGAGCTGAATGGCTGAACAAAGTAGGTTCTTATTACCAATCCCTATGATAAAAAACGAATTAAAACAGTTTATAATTCCAATTGCATAAAAGTCCATGATAGCCATTTATGAGTATTAAAATGCACACAAATACTTTTTGAATAGTAGTACATGTGTGGAACCTATCAATTAGTCCCAGGGTTATGTATTGCATGTAACACCAAATATTGTGCCTTTAACATGTATACTTGGAAAAACAGGTAAATATATTATGAGAGAGAGGGTTTAACATCCACTCAATACAAACCGGGTCATTTTGGGACTAACATATGGTTCAATTTTATTTCAGTAATTGGCTTGTAAATAGGGGTCTTTATCACGATACAAACCAGGTCATTTCAGGACTAACATATCGTTCAATTTTGTTTCAATAAATTGCTTATACGTAGGGGTCTTTATCGGTGGGAGGAAACTGGAGGACCCGGAGAAAAGCCACGAGGTTGGACAGTTAACCATACACCATGTCACGTACACCTGACTCAATGATAAACCTTATGATCTAAAGCACTCGCATTGGATCTATTATGAAGTTCATAATTGTAATGGTAGATATCATTACCTTTGAGCTTGACCTTTTGTTGATGTAAGCTAGAATGTTACAACACAGTGTGATACTATAAATTAACACTATACAGTATTGCAAACATCTGTTGGTGTGACTAAAATCCGTAGCTAAATTGACACAATATTTTCACCCATACTGTTAAAATAGTATATAATATGAAATTAATACACCCAGAAGTCATTAGAATTGTTAACTTAATTTCTTGCTTTGCAAGTAAATGTACTATGTCAGCCTTTTCAAACAATCTTGGCTGTTGGTCAGGTATATCTCAAATTTTAATCATTGCTGAATGATAGATATTTTCTTGACCAGCTTGTAATATTCCATATCTGGAGTGCTGTTTAGCACCTGGTTCTCATAAATAGCAACTACCCCTGTTCTGTGAAAAAAGTTTGAGAAATTGAGTTTTTTAGCTCAATTTCGGAACCACCTTAAACTACTGTTTCCTAGCCTAGATCACCCCAAACCATCTGAGTCACAGAAAGTTCTAGTTCTAGTATAGTTCATTTAAACATTTCACAGCTGTTTACTCAGGTTTAGGCGGTTTGGGGATGAAGAGGGACCATGTAGTGTCAGATGCTAAAGAGTTAAAGGAGAACCAGATAATTTTAAGCTAAGGATCCCTGTAATATCTGTCTCCTTGTTTTCTATTTGCTTCTGTCTTATGTCTTTAACTATTTTATATTCATAGATGATTGATCAACTATGGCCATATATTGGTGACTACGTTAAAGATCTTCTACATAAATCTATCGAACCCGCAATCAAGAAAAGTTTGCCAGCAGCCATTGCAACCTCATTTAGATTCTCACAGATTGATTTGGGTGATATTGTAAGATTTTAATTTGTATTCTTTTATTATGCTAAATCATGGCTCGAAATGTTCGCCTGTCTACTTGTCGTCGACAGGCGATTTTTTCGTCTGACAGGTAGCAAATAAAACTACCTGTCGCTTGCGACAGGTGGACTAAATTTTACTTGATGTTCAGTAAATTGACCACAATACCCACGTCCATGTCACGTACATTTAATTATTTGTTTCTAAATGCAAGAATCAAGCACGGAAATACCGCGAAAAGCCGCCATTTGCACTGTTTACATTTCGCTCTGTCGTAGGCTACAGTTACTCACACAGTTTGGAAGTAGACAATTTTATATCAATGAATTTCACACCATCTACGCTTGTTTTCATCTGCTTGACACTAGTTTATAGCATTATGGAGTATTATATCTAAATAAATTAAAACGCACCCCCAATTCACCTGAAATAATTCTACCGTAACGACACCACAGTAAATATAGTAGTGGTTGGAATGGAAATGCACACGGCTCGTTGCTTGGTGTATTTAATCATTTAAAAAGTTTTAAACAATTTCCATAAATAAAGGCTATGAATAATTTATAAGACAATTTGACAAAATCAAAAAATCAGGTCGGAAAAATATTTCATATATAAATATAATTTGTAGCGTAAATATAGTCCGGATATGTGAGAAGGGAATTCCAGGTGGCGTTATCTGTCCTTCACACGCAGTAGATGTAAATATGGTGCCATGCACAGGTGTGATTTGTGTTTTGATATTCAATTTATTATGGATATTTTAAAATCTGAATTCTACAACTCAACGGTGAAGTATTCGATTTAGTACGGAAGTGTGGTACCATGATACGTTGCGGAATTCACGTGGATACGGATGATAGAATTGTACGAATCTTCGAGTCGTTGAGCCAAAGCAGATTCGCCGACTTTCAAGAATTTTTAGGCAATCCGATGTCGAAGAAATAAAAAGGTTTCATATTACGATATTTATATAGAGCAATGTACGTCAAAGATCTAACCACGTGCGTGTGTACCTACATGTATGGATATGTGTGATGTGATTAGTCCTTGAGTTTGATAATTGAGAGTGACAGGTTATTTACTGAAGCGACAGGTATGAAGAAAAGCTATCTGTAACATTTCGAGGCCTGTGCTAAATTCTCATATTTAAATTCCTTGATGATTGTAGATTGACCACCATTTGTTGACTCTAAAAAAGTAAACTAGTGTCATATTAGCTATGATAAACATTGATTCAATGATAAGTTGGCAATTTTACTTTTTTTTTTTAAATCACCCCCCCCCCCCCCACATCCCCCAGCCAAAAACGTTTTGGCTTGTTCAATTTAAGTTGTATAAAAAGTTTACGTTACTATTGTTTTCAATTTAGCCACCAAGAATCGGAGGAGTTAAAGTTTACACTGAAAATGTCCGACGTGATGAAATTTACATGGACTTGGAAATTATGTAAGTTTTGTTTTCATGCACATCTATTATAAGTATGAATTTGTCTCATCATTTTGATGCTGATTGTTTTGTGGCTGTATTTTAGAGCTGATATAAGTTTGAAGTTTTATTGCCCTTGATTTAGGGAAAAAAGCATTTGATTGGCTTATCATTTCGGTACCGGTATTGTGAAACTGCTGCTGTTGGTCATTCCGAAAACTGCAAGTTGTTAACATTTAGTCTAGAGGCTCTTCCCATTTCTCTTTCAGACTTAAATGTTTGCCACATTTTTGTTATCACATATTCAGTAAAACATGAAATTAGTGCAAAAATTGAGTATGAATTTAATATTGAGAGTTAAATTAATGTGTAGAGTTAATTTCACGGTACTTGTGCAGTAATTTTCAAAAGAAACACAGTAATTGAATTTGATGTTTTATATTTTCTAGCTATAGCAGTGATTCAGAGATAACTGTTGTAGCTAAGGGAATCAATGCTGGTATTAAAGAGCTTCAGGTATTTATGTTACACATATTTTATACACCCGCTATTCTGTCTTATATCATAATAGGTCTCAGATTAGGTTAGGATGGAATCTCAGATAGTCTGAGCTATATTTGTTTTATTGTAAACTAATTAAATCTTGAAATTAACTTTATGATAAGAAGAAATATTATTTGCATGTAAATAATCTGTAGAAATGTTATTAATTATGTTTGCTGTCTTAAATATGTTTGATTAAAATGATCTTTTACTCTCAACAGATCCATGGAACAATGAGAGTAATATTTAAACCATTGATCAGTCGAATACCTTTGTTTGGTGGACTGAGCGTTTTCTTCATCAATAATCCTGTAAGTTATCCCCCTTCACTTTCGTTCACATTGTACCTATTTTTAATGCCGTTAACATGATTTGAAAGAGTATGTTATGTCATTGAAGGCAGATATAAATATGCATTTAACTTTGATTAAATATGCTCAATAAGTGAAAGCTTTGATATTGTACTATACTTTGTTGACCTATGTTAAACATATGTTTGATAGTAAAATATTTTTTCATGGCTTATTTTCAGACAGTTGATTTTAATTTAACCAGTTTGGCAAATGCCTTTGATTTACCAGGATTAAGGTATGTTTTTATATTAAAAAAAAGGAAAATGACAGATTTTAAAACAGTTTAAAAAGTTTCTTTAATTTTGGAAATGACTTTAAATAGTACGTAATATGAGCTATAACAATTCTGTTGGATTAACATTGATTCAGGAATTACGATATCATGTACATAATATGGACTATAACAATTTTAATAGATCAACTTACTGTTTTATTTATTCATTATCCATTATACTCCTCATTCCTCAAAGTGTGTTGTTTCATTTATCCAACACTTATGTTGTCAATTGCAAAATAAAATGGTTATTGACAAGAATTGTTATAGTTTCTTCTTTTAAATACTTATCAAAGTTGCAATATCATATTTGTTTAGTGTTATTTTAGACATGAAAAACTTACGTATAAAATATATCATCAACATTATTAGAAATCTCTATTGTATTTTATTTTAATATAATTTTGTATCCTACAGTGATATGCTTAAGACCATCGTACAAGAACAGATAGCCAACATCATGGTATTGCCTAATCGTATACCAATCTCTATGGCCAAGGGACTAGATCTCAATAAATTACGGTATCCACAACCACAGGGTGTACTACGTATCAACATTATAGAAGCCAAGGAATTAAAGAAAGCAGATATCGGATTAGGGGGAAAAGGAAAATCTGACCCCTATGTCAAATTTACTGGTAGATATTTTACAATGATTATAACAGTGTTTATTCCAAGAATAAAAAGAGTCTTTTTACCAAAAAAACAAACTTATATATGGTAATGATTTTTTAATAAGAGCTATATTGTGTATTTCAGTTGGTGCACAGAAGTTTTCAACAAAGGTTATTGATAATACAGTGGAACCTGTTTGGAATGAGTTTTATGAGGTGTGTAGGATCAATATCTTTTTAAAAACATTTAAAGATACATTATTAAAGAGCTATATCTACTTATTGCAGGCCTTTCTTTAGGCCTTAAATGTTAAGTAGCCGAAATTATTAATTAGACATTTATTAACATGGCAAGACCACAATTAACTCTCTGTGCAGAGAGACTAGTAGATCAGAACAGTTTAGCCATTTAATGATTTAACTTAAGAATGGAGAAGCAAGGTTATATCTCAAATATACCAGGACAGTGTTAACGATAATAAACAATCAGTGCACACATCTTGTCAAAACAACAAACACTGATAACTTGGCTCAGAATAAAGTAATTTGAATGAAATTTTCAATATAATTATTTTGCATTATCTATTTTTGAACTATTATAGCAAGGACAAACAGTTCTTTATCTAAATCTTATATAATGCCACTTTAATTATTTGGAGTCATTGAAGCCTTTGTAATGATCATTATTACCATTAGTAGGATGTTTTTTCTTGTAATGATCATTATTATCATTAGTATAAGGTTTTTTCTTGTATTTATAATAATCATTATTATCATTTGTATGATGTTATTTCTTGTATTTCAGGCAATTATTGATGTAGCTAATGGTCAGTTACTAACATTAGACGTCTTTGATAAAGATCCTGGCAACAAAGATGACCCTCTTGGAAGGTAAGTTAAAAGACTGCATAAGTTACTATATGAAGCAAAGGGCGTGGAAAGGAGTTAGGGCTATGACAATCTGAATATTACTTGAATTATTTATTAAAATCTTGAAAAACTTGATTTTGCGATCAGATGTAAATTAGTTTGATGTGATTGGATATTTTTTACTAATGGAAACAATGCGACTTCAATCTGAATCATAAGAGGCATTGTTTTTTACACTTATTATGATCCTTGAGTAATACGTGTCCAGAAAAGAGCTGGAAACTTTATGAAAAGATAAGGTCAGTATTAATTGAAGAAAATATCTGCCAATATGAAATCAGGCATGTATGATATAATTTGATTATAAGCATGATACATGCAGTTTGATCTGATTAAAACATTTACGTTTATTTATATATTTTTAGTTTAGCTGTTGATATCAGTCAAGTATTTTCTGAAGGTGTCATGGATGAGGTAAGAGTACTGGTTTTAAATTATTTGAGTGGAGGGCTTAGAATTAGGTGAAAAGTAGTGCTGCTACGGTTAGGACTTTTTGTTATTCGAATAGCCGTAGATATTAACGGGTTAGTAACCGTTTAATGGTATGGCATCATTTTTAAACATAAAACATAGCTTGTCAGGATGTGCCAGTCATTACTCGTGCGCACGCTATACTCGCCTAAAAGGCATTACACGCGCAAAAATTTCAGGGATTTTTTCATAGACATGTACAATTCTTTAATGAAAATTTAAACTATCTAAGGTCATAGTTATTTGTTTACCTGGTTAAATTGGTTCATTTGAAACATTTTTTAATTCAATATATATCTACAATAATATACAAAACAATACTCTGTTTCGTTTGGTACGTAACATTTGGCGATAATATTACGATTACACAATGTTACTAAGAATAGAATAAAGTAAATTGGAAGGCGTCTATTGATTGGACAATAAAGAAATAACTTGCTTGCAAGTAGAATTTTTATGATTTGTTAATTTAACTAAAAACCAAAGTAGAATTCATGCGAGAAATTACGAAATATGAAACGTGTTGAATGTCGTAACGAATCTAGTATAATGTCATTTTCTAGCCTTTATGATTATATTTTGAATGGTGGTTACGTTTTTAAGTAAATAATAAACAAGGTAGAATATAGTTAGAAATGCCGAGAAGTATTTAGATTGGATTAACAATAGCTAAAGTCAGAACCAGGTCCGTTGACTTTGCCGTATGACTACGACGAGTGCTATTAATAGTATTATTTTTTAGCAGTCGACATCGTAGGACGACTGTTACATTCTAAGATTTTCAAACATCAAATACAAAATGACAACGGGCAAGTTTTGTTATAAAGAGGAATATAATCAGACACAACTCTATGTAATGGGGGACATCTCCAAATAACCGTACCGTTGAATTCGAACCGTTTAACCGGCCAGTTCTTACCGTTTACGGCTATCCGACTAGCCGTAGGAGCACTAGTGAAAAGGCATCAGCATCCCAAGAAATCGGGTGAAAGTACTAAAATTTTAGAAACTGTCGATATTATCAACATGTCAAATGTTACTCTTTGATATTCTGACGACATAACATCTAACACCCGAAACGGTCAAATGCTTGGTGCAAAAGTTGATAATTAGTTTATTTATTTCAGCAGACGGCCAAATTCACAATTTTCAGTTATCTACACTGCTAACACATTAAACTTATATATCCAGTCCAATTATTTCACACAAAACTTTTTTTTTACTGTCCATTTTACAAGATTTCAAAAAATTTATCACCGACAATGCAACTGCAAGCCATTAAGCAGGAAATGGCCTCGTTGAACTCTAGCAAATTCAAATTCTGAACACGATTCCACACAAGATGAAATTCATCTATTTTTCATTAATTTCAATATTAAGTCATTTACTTTGTTATTATAGTTATATAAGTTGTCCCAAAACATTTATATTTGGTTATATGAGCCAGACAGACATGGTGTCAAAAACACTGCAACATTATATTTCATTTCGAGTAAAACTTTTTAAGACGTCACATATAGGGAAACCTATCCCAACATGGTTGTCGAGTTTTCATCTAGGAGGTCCCGGTGAATGTGACTTTAGATAAGCATGTTTTAATGGACAGTCATTGCTTGTCAGTGAACTTTATTGTTGTTCATTAATGGCTAATGGAAAAAGCTAGGATATGCATTTGAAATTTACCAACTAAGTATTTGATGCGCCAAAAATTTAGGAGGAACTGGTGTGAACTAAACCCTGATTGAAGACCCTAGAGGTTACGTGTCCATGAACCCTCTAGGTACCCTGGAGTAGTGTCGATATTTGTAACTGTTTTTGTCATCATTGTTTAGGATTTTACATCATTCTATACAAAATAAATATGAGCGTACTATGGACCAGAAACCTAGCATGATATCATCACAGCCATCTTTGGGCATCACGGTGGCTAAGTGGGTAAGACGCTGGCTCGCTAGTCTGGAGGTTGGGTGTTCAATCTCTGCATTGACCGAGAAAGTTCATCCAGATTTTCCGGTGTAGTTCCCCCTTGTTAGTGATGCAGGACAGGGCCTGACAAGGACAGCTGTCTAGTCTTTTGGATGTGACGAAAAACCAAGGTTCCGTGTACACATTGGCATGCACATGAAAGATCCCCTGACAGTTGGAATTCGATATAAGAGTAGGCCGTAGTGTCACTGTCCGGGCAAAATTTCCCTGTATGGTGTATGCCCGTCTTCATCAGCCCAGTTCGAAGCAGAACAGTAGGACGTTAAACCCCAGTTCATTTCATTTCACATCCATCTTGGAATTGTGACATACCAAAAACCAAAGTCCATCAAATATTGTTGCACAATTGTCCAAGGAACACGCATTCCAATACAAAAAGGATCAAGAAGATAAATAGCGTTTGGGGCCTGGTTCCTGGTACAAAAAGTTTCCCAAAGGTTGTTAACCAGCCCCCAGAATCACCCCCAAGATTAATGCTACTTATCAATTGCCATGCAACGGTACTCTTGTCATTACAGAAATGACCTAGTTGTGTTGACTTGACATTGATTAGATGCATATAATTGTTGACATTCTCCAGTGTGATGATAATAGTTAAATGATATTTCAGTGGCTTCCATTAGAAGATGTTAAAAAAGGTTTGGTTCATCTTAATCTTTGCTGGCTCCACCTGGCTAATGATCCATTGGAATTGGACAGGGTAAGTAACTCTTACACAAACTGGAAAAATACATTGAATCTTCAACTGATTTATCATTTTCAGTTATATATCAAGTCTCTTCTAAATTTTGATTCTCAATTTCCTATAAATTGATATATTTTCTAAATTTTAAAATTACCGTGCTTTTGTGTTGTAAATATTTATATTTTGCATGTTGGAAATATATCTTTTTTCAGTAAATATTTAAAAATTAGTTTTTGATTTCTCCTAATAAAGTGAAATTATATAAAATTCCAGAATTGAAATAAAGTGATGCTTTTGTTCTGTTTTAGCATATGTCTTAATAAAAGCTCTATAGTTCTTTGATAGATAAGCTTGAAATCAACTGTGATCTCAGTCATCATTCCTAAAATGTTTTTTCTTAGTCTTAAAATCATTGTTATTGTTGCTCAGTATTGTGTTTTCAAGTAGTCATGTCATAAAATACATGACTAATATTTCTTAACGTTGGTTCCTTATGATTTAATTAGGTTAAATCAAGAAAAGAGGTTAATTATAGAAATATGTAGACCTTAGAAAGAACATAACCTGAGTGTTTCATCATGATCCATACATAATGAATGTATATCATTCAAAATTCTAGCTAACATCATCAAGAATTATTGCTCACCAATAACATGATGTGAAAAAGTTCTCTAGATTTTTTGTTTCATGATATTCATGTGCATAAATAATAAAACAGAACAATAATAAGCACAGTTCTTTAAATAATAGATTAATATCAAATATATTATTTGAACTTATTTTGTATTTGTCATTGGATGCATATACAGAGTACAAAAATTAGTAACCATTGTATGGCCGATTGCTGTCAAACATAATTGACACAGTATATGAAGCTGTTGGGGTTTTTTTTCATCTCAGCATGTAGACTTGATCAATATTGAAATCGGAATAGGGTTGTCGATCCTTTTAGTTTATAAAGATAAAATTTACTGTATATTCTAAGTATATTTAATTAAATTTGAATGGAAAAAAGATTGTGACTGTTTCAACTCATCTTTTTTATTTTGATTGGATTATCATAACCACTGTACTAATATTCACAGAATATGAGAAGCAAGTTGATTATTAGGAATCTTTTTATTTTATAGACTTTTAGAATTTCATAGATATTAAGGATGTTATCATTAGTTTAGATTATTTTAACTAATTAGTACAAAATATAGTGATATTCAGTCATAAAAACTACTTTTTCTGTTTGTTTACTAGTGGATTATTTTAATTATTAATGTTTAGTTAATTGCATTAAGAAGGCTAATGTTTATAAAAAGAAAACCCACACTGATATCCATCTTTTTCCATAGACTTATCACCTATTTACAAAATATTAATTTGATATCAGGGCTAAACGAATTTTAGTTTGAGCTTCCAATTTTGTTATTTTAACGGTGTATGTGTTTTACACGTAAAACCCCATTAAAATACAGTTTATTTTGTAATCATGGTGAACAAGGCAATAACCCCCAAGATGATGAGATGTAGTTCTCTAATTGTCAGAAATCCAATGATATGTATGTACTATGATATTTGATTCACTATCTATCACTACACACTTTACTCATATTACCTTCTCCATATAACATGTTTCCCTTCTCCACTGTTTCCCTTTCCCCCCCTGTAAATACCTACTAAGGAAAAAATATTTACAAAATAGGTAATCTGTGAGGTTTTCTCTTTCTTAATGTTCTTTATTAGAACTTTTCATATTTCTTGTATATTCTTGGCTTGATTTTAGTTTATCTTGCAAAACAGACAATATAAAATAATTAAAAAATTCGGAATCAGACAAGTTCTTTGTAAATTAATAAAAATACTATATTAAAATTTAATAAAAAAAAAATATTATATTAGAATAGAATTAAATAAAAATATTATATTAGAATAAATTAAATAAAAAATACTACCAGTGTATTAGAATTAAATAAAAATACTATATTAGAATTAGATAAAAATACTATATTAGAATAGAATTGAATAAAAAAAATGCTTACAATTAGAATTAGAATTAGTTTGATTAAATTTTAAAAGGTTTTCATGATCATTCACTCCATTTTTCATGCTTTTCAAATTCAAATTATTCTTCACAATAACTTAGAAATATTATTGTGTGGCTAACTAACTTCTTCTTGTGAGTTTAGAGTAGTTACACACTTAAGAATTACCTCTTTACTGGCCAGCATAATCACTAAACAGACACAAGTTGACTTTGGTCAGCATTTGCTATGAGGTAAAAATGCGTGACCCAGTGATTTCCTATAGCAATTTTAGCCTGACTAGTTCGGGATCTATTTGAATTTTATAAAAACTCAAGTCAAAAAGTACATGAAAATTCGAACCTATATGTACATGTACATTTTGCGGCAATACGTAATGCACCATAAAGTGTGTAACTACCCTACGAAGAAAAATATAGATTTTTTATTTCATAAGTCTTAATAATAAAGTTAATAAAGAAATTATGTATATTTTATCTTTTAAGAAAAAAAGAAAGATTTTGAAACTTGAGTTTGATTATTAATTTTTTTTTTAAAAATAAAAACAAAGTATTTAAGTATATGCGAAAATAAGATTTAAACAATGAAATACTCTTGCAAACAAATATAAATTTCTGTTTGTTTTCTTGTCACTTTTTGATGTTTATAATTTATGGTTATTTTTTTCGTCCTGTTTCCTGTTATTTATGACCATTTCTTGGGGTAAGTGAAGTGTGAGTGAATTGGAATTGAATTAATTTGAAATTTCTATTTGATAAATCAGAATTACTTGAGATTTTATTTAATTATTGATTTTAATGATTTTTATGTTATTAGGTCAGCATAACATGGAAATTTAACTCCTGACATTTTTTTCTTTTAAAGTTTTACATTCAAACATTAAAGAAGCATTAGAGATCTTTTCCCGTCCCAAAAAAAAGTTTCTATTATGTATTTGCTTTTGATTTTGACTACATAGTGATGATATAAAATTTGAGATAAATCTATTGCCGAGATATAGAACTTTCAAGAAATTTATAAAAGTCCTATGTATTATAGACTATTATGCTTTTCAAATGTTCAGCAGATGCTCATGAACAATGTTTTGATCTGAAACTCCAGATTTTCAATAATTAGGCGAGTGTAGTGTTATTGTGAAGATGCTATTATTTTGATGTCTTGCTGACCTTAAAGCAGTTAAACCTCTTTGTTTTGGGTAAAAATCAAGTGTTTTGTTTGGTTGATCTCATTTCAATACGTGATGGGACAAGTCTTATATGATTTGATTTTTCTTTCGATATATTAGGCTTAACGTGAAATCTGTTTGTTTAGTAATTTTAGTTTCATTCTCAACCTAAACTGTCGACAGTGAAACACAAAATCAGTTATATCTTAACATTGGCTTCGTCTGTGATCCAAATCAGTACAGCATATTTAATTAAACACTTCTTTACCCAGATCAAACAGGTCTAGGCTATTTATGTGTGTGTTGTTATGTTGATTAAAGTGTGAACTAATTTTTCCTCTGTTTTAAGGGTATGTTTTTCTTTGTTGACAGTCTGCATGATAATAATTTAACAAAAGAAATGATTTATCTGTTAAGAGTTAAACATTTAATTATTTTGTTGTGCCAGAAAAAAAGGATATTAATACCATTTTTCAATATATTTTGTTTTATTCAAAGAAAAATATACCTTTATCCTTTTAAGTATAATTATGGTAATTTTTACACACTCTGTATAAAATTATGACACCATAATTCCATAAATCAATTTTAAATTGTGACATTATTTTGGAATTATGATATCATTCATTACCCAAATTAAGTGTGAAAATTCTATAATTGACCTTAATTCCCTAATTCAGGTTTGTATTTTATAACAGTGTCATGTAATAAGAAATATTGAGACCTTATCGAAGGTTTGATTTCTTATGGCCATCTGAATTTTAAAATCCTTACTTTGGCTAAATTTTTAAAAAAAATGATTATTGAGTTTTTAACTTCAGAATGGTTTAAGTTCAGGAGGATTTCAGATTTGAGTAAAAACTTGTCTCAGAAGCAAATATGTTTCTCATCCAATGTGTCTGTTCTTTGTTTTTAAAAATAGCAGATGAATTTAAAATTACAGTTTTTATATGCCCATATTTACAGTCCTACACTTTTCTATGGAGAATAATATAATTTTTAAATGTCTGACTATTTGCTGGTGTTAATTAATAGAATTTGTCAGAATTATGTACAAACTGTTACCACTGTTAAGTGAAATTCTTTTGTAGTATTATGATAGAATCTTCAATAATTCATAGTGTTGTGGTTGGCAAGAATCTTAATCAAGACTATATACTTGTATTGTAGGTGGTACAAAAGATGGAATCAGAGAAAAAAACAGATGACCGGTTCTCTTCATGTATACTACTAATTAATCTGGACTCGGCTCGTGATCTACCAGTAAGTATAAATTAATTGATTTTATTGTGTAGTTCTGTACAGATGGGGGTCTGTTGTTGGTCAGTTTTGGGAAAACTTAGAGGTTTAAAGTATTCTCATTTCTGAAGGGATTCAACTTTTAAACTGATCATTAGATGCATTGTTATTTTTGTTAACATTACTGAGATACAATTTTTCTTGGTGTATTGTTATGACCTTTGGTACATTAGCCCATGTGGAAAAATTTGCAGTGTTGCGGCCTTTAGTATGTTAAAAACAGCTTGAACCTGTCAGCTGTTAAGGACATTAGTTTCTCAGCAATGGTAAACTTTTTGAGAATTTCTTTTATTGAAAAAGCTTCTTGTAGGTGATGAAGCCCAGACCAAACATATTGATTATGTCAGATAGGAAATAGTTATCTGCAGTTCAATATCCATCTTCACTGATGTCTCGGTTCCATTTCTATCATCTCTATTTGATAGGGTTGCAGTTGGATTTGGTTTTTCTTATACACCCACATTTTCATGTGGATGTATATTGTTGTCGCCCCTGTCTGTCCAGACGTCCACAGTTTGTTTATGGACCCTCTACAGGTCACAATTTTTATCCAATTTTGACACAACTTGAAATAAGGTTTATCTCCAAAAGAGATCTCGGTTCCTTTCTATATTGGCATGTATCGGACTGTAACTTCACTTTTTTAGCCTGTGGTCCCTCTAGAGCACAATTTTTATCTGATTTTAAAAACCGTTTAAATATATCGCTGTTACACCATAAAGAATGAAGGTTGAGTTCGAAATTTGGGCAAATCGCGACTACAAAATTGCCGCTCATCGTACGCAAATAGTGTAAAAGTATGTTATACGAAGGTTGCAGACCCTCTAGAATTTGTGTATTTCAGCCCATAACTTACTTGATTATTGCCCCTGATTGTATGAAAAATCCTTGTGAGGTGGGGGGTAGCTTGTTTTCTATCCATCTCTTGCAACGTGTGGGCATATCTTGCATGGGCAACTGCTGGTTTCAAATGTATGGGTTAGGTCATGTTAAGATTCTGTGTATTTTTTTATTAGTGTTATGAAGAATATAGCTATTGGGTAAACAGTTATTATGTTAAAAAGTTATTGTTGAAATTTCATTGTTTGAATATTTAGTCAGTTTACCCCAAAAAAAACCTCGTGTTTAAAAATTTACAAAATTATTTGGTTGGATATTTTTGTTTTTTCAGTAGAATGTTTTGTTAATTTTTTTATCAGTTTTCATATTACAATTTTTGGTTTTTAATTTTCAGGCTTATTCTAATGAAGTAATTTATATTGAATTTCTCATTGTTTTGACTTTTTAACAATTTTATTATCCAAACAATCCAAGCATGTTTGTTTACCATTGACTGGAAAGTACAATGTATGGTTTAAAGAACCCATTTTTTTTTTTTTGGAACAAATTAAGTTACCCTTTGTTCACCTCTATTTTATATAATGATATGAATATGGTTAATTTATCTGTCCAACAATTTTACATCTAGTTTAGATATGTTTAAAAATAATCCTAATAAAGTTGCAGAAACCATACAATTTGGATTAATTTCATACAAAACTCAATACTCTTGTACATGGAAGATTACGAATCAAGCAAGAGTTATCTCCTGTGATTTCAAGTCATACACATGGACATATGCTGCCATGATTGTACAAAAGCAAGTCATTGACATTGTCTTTAGTGTGTATATGATGTATGAATGTTTGTGTATGTTCATATAGAAGAAGATTTTTTTTTTTTTTAGTAAATTTCAATTTAGAATAATTGTATGAACCTCATTCCATTCTTGTTAATCCTCCTTATCTAAGTTTCTAATTTTATTCTGTGTTTCTTAGCGTTTTATCAAGAAGGTATGGTTTGCACAGAGTGATTTCTTGATTTGCAAATTTAACAATTAACAAAATTATCTGAGCACATAATGTACTTCACTACACCTCAAACAACCATGCATCATGTGTGGTTAGGGAACTGAACAAAAATGTCCTGAGTTTGAATCTAAACACGTAACTAAGAACAGCCTTGGATATTTTTATACCCTGGTCCACCAGGGATACAAAAAAATGTGTCTAGTCTCTCTAGTGGTTTGGAAATTGGTGCTCCATATACAAATTGAAAGTACAAGATCCTTGTGGAAGTGAAACTATGGGTGGAAACATTGGTGTCCTCCATGGCATTTCTCATGTAATATGTCTCAATGACTGAAATCTAATATTAACAGTATGTGCTTTATAAACGTAAAGGAAGTGCATTCCAAAAAATGTTTTGTAGTATTATAACAAAGATCCATGAAAACAGCCCAGAGTAATTCTAAATATCATAAATAGAAAATTATAAAGAGAATCTAGAGAGGAAAATTAAGGGTATAAGTGAAGGTAGCAATCAAAAAATTTGATTGACTTTTTCAAATCAAGTTGGCACCTGTGCTTCTTCCCCATGAAATTATTCCTATGACTATACATTAACATTCTATGCTTGTAATGTGCATATTTCTGATTATTATTATGTTATATATATTTATTAACAATTTTCCTAATTAATTAACTCCCAGCATTTAACAGTGTGTGAGATTAATATGCATTTTTATACGCCCACATTGAAATATAACCGGATATTGTCATCATCCTTGTCAGTCCGTCTGTCATCCATGATTTCTTGTGAATACATTCGGAATACCTTTATCATCTAATTTTTTTTTATATTTATCAGTTTGCATAAGTCAGAAGCCTATTGAATTTCATTGATATCTGATAACTTCCAGTGTCAATGCCCCAATGCTTTGTAGAATCTAGTGAATGCTTTAGCAACAAAAATTAGTATTCAATCTGTTTATCATTTCCTGTTAATTACTTCTAGTTTCTTATCAATGAATATTTTACAGTATAAAGACATTGCTCTTTATTTACCTAAATATTTGTAATGTGATAATCTGTATTCAGTGTATTGATTACTCAGACAATTTGACTGTTGTCAGCGTATGTTTCATTGCCTGGCTACATGTCTTTATTTAAATAGCCCAAATCGCAATAGAAATCAAATACATTATTATTCGCTTTTTTTTTCTGATATGCAATTTTGATTTCTGCTAATATTCGTTCATGTTGGGTTTGACAAGTCAGACCTAAGCCTCAAATCTGTGAATTGATGAAAAAAGCAGTCAGTTTAGTGGAACTGACAACAAAAAGCCAATTAAAGATCAGATGATTGACAGTAAATAAAATTGTGGAATTCTTGATTTTGTTTGTTTGTTAAATATATTGATATGAAATGTAACGGTTTATATACACCTTTATATATTTATATGTATGTCCTATACACCACTTTTATTTATAAAACTTACATGTATATGTAGCTTTTAATCTTAATTTCACCTTTTTTTAGTTACCTCCCTTTTAGATTATTTATTATTAGATTTCTAACTTTAATATTCTAGTCCGTTAGATGCTAACAACTTTTTTTTATCCAATTATAGAATTTTGAAAATATCTATGCATCACATACCTGTGTTCTATTGAATAATATTCTTCAAATTTTATTTTAGCGTGGTAAAAGGAGCTTGAATGAGCCATCTCCACACTGTTTCCTTTCTGTTGGTACAGAAACCAAAGAGAGTTGGATCAAATATAACACAGTTGAACCAAGATGGGAACAGAATTTCAGATTCCTGATCCACAACCCTAATTATCAAAATCTTGATGTTGATGTAAGTAGGCTTACAGTATGGTATTTAGGGCTGATGTTAAAAGCCATATGAAACCCACTATATCTAATTGTTATGGGTTTTCCTTTACTTAGAACAAGGTAATTAGGTAATTAATCCTTTGTATCAAAAAATGGCCAATCAATAAAAAATTACAATAAGGACTAAAAAGTGATGGTTATATTAAATTAGAACAAAATATGTAGAGTGTACAGATGTAATTAAAAATATAATTACAATAAGGACTAAAAAGGGATGGTTATATTAAATCAGAACAAAATATGTAGATTGGATAATGTCCTGGTACAGATGTAATTAAAAATAAATCCAATTTGACAAAATAATCCTCACAAAAAAAAAGAGGGAAAATAACATATCTTTGCTTCAATAAGTTTGCATGTGTTTAGCAGTAGGAGGAAAACTGGAGAAAACCCACAAGTTTAGGGAGGTGATCCTACACCCTCTCAAGTACAAGTCTTGGATCGAAACAACTCTTGAATCTTTGACAGACCGTATGATCTAAATTTCACACATTCTACCACTCAGCCACCGAAACTCCCTTGACGAAAAATAGTTTTAGTTTGTTCCCCTCTTCATAAGTCTGATTGATGCTGAGAAAGCATGACATTAAAATCCATTTGATTTTGTTTGGTTTCTTTTGTTGTATTTCATTCCTAGCTCATAAAAATAGAGATGATCATTAATTTGGTTTCTTGTTTGTTTTTGGGGGGTTTTTTTAGGTTAAAGATAAAAATACTGGTAAAACTCTAGGAGTTTGTACTCTAAAATTGAGGGAAGTACTTGGAGCAACAAATATGGTTGTTGATCGTAAATTCCCACTGAAACAATCCAATAGTAACGCATATATTAACATGAGATGTACTCTGAGGGTAAGTGTCATTTAAACTGTAATTGTCAGTTTTTATTACTCAGTATGATAGTTCATTAATTCTTTATAATTATTCAACTGGACTATTGGCGAATATGCCCTATGTTTGAATTCCTATGTGAACAAAGAAGAACCTTAGGGGTTTATCAAACCCAGCTTTCACTTGTCAGTGGTTGCTTCTTTGAGTAAAATGTGCCTAGTCATTAGGATAAGAAAAAAATATCTACCTGTATACATGTTGGCATGCACAAAGACAGAAACATTGCTATCCAGAGAAACTTCTCCAACCTCGCATTGAACATTTAACTCTAGATTTAAAACTACATGTTTGTCTCTAAATGACCTCAGTATTGTGTTAATAATACATTGAATCCATTTCCATATTATATTATCTATGTCAGTTTTAATAGGCTATGTATTAAGTAGTTGTATGTTGCTGTCAACCGTGTAGTTGTTGGTCATTTGTTCAGATCTTTCAACATCTCATTACTGGTTAAGATACATTTTTGTCAAAAATATACCAGGAGCTAAGTGTTATCATAAATTGGAAATGGTGCCGTTCACACAAGGTCGTGATTGGTCAGTAGGATTCTGTCTTTCATGAAAAAATATACGGCTGTTTTCAGAGTGGAGTAAAATGTTTAAAATCATTCTGTATCATAAAGAATATATGGTAATTAGATTAAAAATCCACAGAAATAATTAGGTTATATTTGACCAAATTATTAGGCCACATTTTACAAGATTTATTTACTTGAGTTAGCAATGTTACTCATTTGATTTTCATAATGAATACTATTTCAATTTATGAACAGGTTTTGACAACAACAGATAATCCAGAATGGCGAGAAGAGAAAGATCTGATTGAAGAAGTTGCAGAAGCTGTCACACCTACACTATCTGAACAGGAAGGCACATCTGTAGATAATGAAGGAACATCAGGCGAGGGCACAGTATCTTCCTCAAACGTTGAAAAGGCAGAGAAAAAAGAAGTGATTAGATCTGCTCCTAGTAGTAAACCATTGGAATCAACAGTACGTCAACGAAAAAACACATCGTCTGCGTAAGTAGGCCTATTACATGATTTGGATGTTGATACCATTTCTCATTTTAGAAATTCAGTACTTGTATTTTAGAGTACACCAGGCCATCAATTATTTAGATTCAATTTCATGCATAACATTCTTGACTAGTTAGTTACAGATTTAGCTATGTAGTGGACAAGTTTACGTATATTGCAAATTCAATTTTTATCTACTGGTTTTTTTTTTAATTAACTTTTTATGTATTATTAATACTTGTAATTAATATTTTTATGTATTATTATTACTTATAATTAATATTTTTTATGTATTTTTATTTGACTTTAAATTTTCCATATTTGTTTTTCAGTGATGATGGTAAAGGAGCCCATGGTTTAGGAAGAATACAGCTGACTTTACAATATATGGCACAGAAAAACAAACTTATTATAATAGTACATAAATGCTCGTAAGTTTAATTAAAACATAACAAAATCAAAAGACATAAATTAGGTCAACATGTGGAGACACAATTACGGTGTTCACAGTTGCCAAACAGCCATTACCAAATAGTAAGTGCAGGAGGATCTCCCCACACAATCATTGAAATAACGTTACCACCTTTTTGACCTCACTCCAGTTTAATCCTATACATGTATGCACCTAAATGGGCAGAAATATTGTCTCAGAGCTTCAGATTATATCAAATTATCGGGTAATTTCCAAGACCATACGCTAATCTGGACGTTGTTTCCACCTTCAACTGCCCACTGCTGACATTCCTGAACACGCCCATGCAAGCACAAACAAAACCCATAAAACTCACCATGAGCCCTATTTATCATTTAATAAACTATACTAAAAAGAACAAATAAAATCACTGGCAATAAAATCAACAGTTATAAACTGTACAAAAAATTAGATGAATCTTAATTCATGGATTTAATATTTCAGGAATCTACAGGCATTAGATAGTAATAATCTGTCTGATCCTTATGTCCGTGTCTACTTAATGCCGGAGAAAGTTAAACGTAAAACAACTGTTGTTAAAGATAATCTTAATCCTGTATATGATGACACGTAAGGGGTTTTTTTTCACATCAAATAATCTTGACTTTTAATTGCTGTCTGCAAAATTTAATGGAAGAGGCTTGAAACTCTGCTGCTCCAGGCAGTTTCTGTTGACGAATGATTGGAAATTTAAAATTAACATCACTGACTTTTATTAATTTTTGCAAGTGTTGGGTCCATTTATCATTTGAAAGGAAGGTACAGTACTCATTTGCCATCCACTGTTCAATGTCTTCTTTTAATGGCCCAGTTTACTGAAATAGCAAAGAAAAATTAATCATATAGAAGAGAGGTTCTATCTCTGAATTTATTTATTTATTTATTTATTTATTTATTCATTTATTCATTTATTCATTTATTCATTCATTCATTTATCATTCAGGTTTGAGTTTCCAGTGAGTCCATCTGAAGTGTCGGGTAAACTGGTGGAATTGGCTGTAAAGAACCAAGTTGGTGTTTTTTCATCAGGTCAGAAGATGATGGGAGTAACAACGATAGATCTGGCTAATATGAATATCAACAAAGCCCTAACAAAATGGTATGATTTTATTGTACTTTTACTTTTTTAGTAATTTCAAAAGTACTTACATATTTTGACATCAAATATTAATTTGATTAATTTCTCCGCATTGCCAAATCTTTCCTAGTGTAAATTGATTTAATTTAATATTTAATTGTTGCCAATGAAACATGTTAACAGAACAATATTATTTATTTTTTTGTAGGTTTGACTTGCAACCTGAAGATTCAGTTGTACGTGTTTCTTTGGAAACAGAGGTTTAAAAATTCAAAAGAAACAGAATCGTCCATGGAAGTTTGAATAAAAATGGTTTAAACCGATCAGGGTTTTGTAGGAAGAAGTATTTTCGGAAAGATTTTAACTGGATATTTTAATTGTGTTACGTAATCATATTTACAAGTATCATATTATTATTATTAATAATAGTTGTTTATATTATTAATTATTATTAAACAAAAATACTCTCTTTTCTGTGTGCTCGAAAAATACTATTGCATAATATATTAGCATTATAATGCCGCTAGAGTTTCTTGTACATTTATAGATCCAGAATTTAAAGTGTAGCTTTGCCATATTTTAATATCATATATTTACATATTTATAACGGAATGAAATGTGTAGACACAACGAGTTAAATATCTGATTTTATAAATTATATATGGAATCAGGGAAAGTGATTTTTATCTTATTCTGACTTTATGAGATTAATTAAACAAAATTGTAAGAAAACATTTTTTGAAATTCTGAATTGGCACCATGAACTCGATTGTATGCATGAGATTAATTGAAAGAAAGAAATTCTTTCCAAATTTTTATAACAGCATATTGTAGTGACATGTATAGCAAGCAATGTGTTAACTGTTTACTGTTATTATTATTAGCAAGCAAGCTGTGTATCCTGCCATTGTTATTTTTACATAGTGTCTTACAATATTGAGCAGATTGCAAAGACTAACTGCTGTTTATTTTGTTTTCATGGTTCAGAATAATAGTTTAATTTACTTTTTTTTTTAAACTAGATTTTGCATAAATTACTTATTCACTGAAAACCACAATACATAAACCTCTGAAAATAATGACTATGAGATATAATGTAATGGACAGTGTAGTAAGTCTGTCTTGTTAATTTGTGAATGCTAAATGCTAACATATCTAGTAAGTTTATTATTGAATTTCATTTATGAATCTTTTATTGTATATATAATTTCAGATTTTTATTAGCTATGGGGTTGTGTAGTGACGTTTAGTTTTTACTTTTTTATCAGATAATATATTTTATTAGGGATTATTTTTTTATCGTATACACTGGGGTATGTCAGGAAGAACTGTATTTTGGTGGTTTATTGGAGCTAAATGGGACAAGAATCAAAGAGAGTGGACGTAATTGACATACAGTGTATATGATAAAATGATAACCATGTAGTAGCCTACCACATAAAAATTATTGTTTATCGATTTGTGAAAAATTATTGTTTATAAAGTGCTACAATTTTCACATTTTATTTTATTAGTTTGTGTATTTAGAATGGTGTATTAATTTTGTTTTAGGGCTTAACTTGGAAATCATATCATACTATTTAATTCTCTGTAATAAATATGTCAATGCTATTATCCCAAACTTTATCTTCAGATATAATTCATATATCCATTCATGTTTGTTAATCAGTTACTTTGTATTTTATCATAATGAAAATCTTTGTCTGTCTTAGCTTTCAAGGAAGGATCAGTGAGTAAGGCTTTGGCTCGCTAACCTGAAGGTCCTGGGTCCGGCCAAGAAAGTTCTTCTGGATTTTCTGGATGGTTCCCCTTTGTCAGTGGTAGGAACAGCATCTAGTCGTTTGGATTGGATGAAAAACATGTTCTGTGTATACCTTGACATGCACGTAAAAGAATCCTTGACAGTTGGAATTCGAAATAAGAGTAGGCTGTAGTTCTGCTGTCTGGGTAAAATGTCCCTCATGGCACAGTCTATGCCAGTCTGCATTAGCCCAGATGGAGCATAAATGTAGGACATTAACCCCCATTTCATTTAACTTTCAACTCTGAAATTAACAACTGAATAATTAATGTATACACAGAAATCGTTCATTAAGATTGTGAGGAGTGTTAAAATCTATAATTTATGAATCTAATATTGTGTATTGTCTTTTATATGTCTTTGTTCCTTTATAAAAGTCTTTCATCAGCTGTTAATATACTTATTAAAAAATACTCAAAATATGTGTTATCTTCCCATATTCTATCTTTTATTTCTTGAAATTATTCACCTAAAAATATCATTGTTTGTTTGATTGCTAGTTTAGAAATGATTATAACAAATCGGGTAGAATTCTGTTAACAATAATCATATTAGATATTATAATTTGTTATACCTTCTTATAGAGAATTAAATAATTTTACACCATTATTTACACTAGTTGAATTGATTTTCTAGTAAAGTATCGAAGTATTAACGAAAGGCTTCTTTATAACAAGATGAAGAAACTGAATAGTGGATATCTAATCTACTTTCAGAATTTCGGGGTATGGTATAAGGTCTGTCATTGAGCCAAGTGGCATGGATTTGACAAGGAGTAAGGTCGCCTGTCCAACTTCATGATATTTCTCTGGCTGGATCCTCCAGTTTCCTCGAACTGCTAAAGACCCCTATGTGCAAGCGCTTTATTGAAATATAATTGTACCATATGTTAGTCATGAAATTACAGTTTGTGTTGAGAGAAGGAGTGGACGTTTAACCCCAAATCTCTCTCTCACTTTTTGAGTTATTTCCCTTGATCACTTTTAGGAGCTTGTGAATGCTCTTGCAGCAAAAGTTGCCATCTTAGTCCATTTGTAGTCCAATACTCCACATTCACTTTTCACTATTGATAGATATATCCTATTATATAAATTTAGTCCCTAAAGTACAATTTTTATGTAACTTGTGTTGGGTTCATAATGGGCCACTTTCCAAATTGCTCTGTAACAATGGGAGACTGATACCATATCGCATGTGACCCTTCGAATATCTCAGTAAGCTCAAGCCAGATACCTTAAATACCTTAAATAATGTGAAATAACCTATGTACCTGTCAAACATGACTGATGTAAGTTGTTCTGTAAAGATTGTTCTTACTTTAGCATAGTGTATTTTAATGCCAGTAAAAGAATAATACAGTCATTTGCAATATTTTAATATCATTTCCTAGTTAAGTCAGGTGCTTTGTGAAGACCAGTTGAACGTTTTGTGCATACACATATGAATCAAATCAATTCTTGGTTATCAAATAATACGCATGCATTAGTAATGGTAAGAGGACAGTACCAAAGACAAGGATACAATGGTTGTGCAGCTAAGGTCGTGCATACTTTTGAAAAAAGAAATCAAATGTACAAATGCCACTTTGCCTTAGGTGTATAATGATTTTACCTCACTGACATTGCCAAATGATGTCCATCATCATGGCTATTAGTATTAAAAAATTACAAAGTTCTACCATCACAAATAACTATATCAAGGCATAGAAAAAACTTATTCCATGTTGAAAAAATTTAACTGCTTATTTTATTTAATGACATACCCCGTACATCAAATTACGAAAAATGATTTTTTAATTACCAACGGTTGCCATGGTTATTATCCGATCAATAAAACTCTACTTTCGGTTTTGACCTATATAGTATAATAACCTACTTGTGAGAACGAGGCTAAATGACAGCCTCGATCATACGTGGCCGAGGGAAGCCAACATGGCTGACACAGAAACTATCGTGAACGGTGTAGAAAATCTAAATGTCACTGACGATAAAGATGCCAACTCAAATTCTAATACGATCCTAGATGAGTATTCTGCTAAATGGGGTTTTCCACTTGAAGAACTCTATAAAATCGCCTTGAAGTTTTTTAAAGGTAAATTGCTATTTTTACGCCGAAAAACATCACATTTCTGGACAGGAAGTCATAAAAAATGTTCTGAATATTTTCATGAATAAACTTCACAATTATTGATATCATGAATATGATTATAACTGTCCACGAGTAGCCTACAAGCAATACTTATAGTTCAATTAAATAATTGTTCACATCTGTCAATTTGATTTTACTAATTATAAAAGTCTCCTGACAATTTTATTGACATTTCACATTTTGATTTCGATAATTTTAAATATTTTGTTTTTACAGTCCACCTAATAGTAATCTGTTAAGCCATAGGCTTTACAATATTTCACCAATTTACCTGCATGCTCCTAATGATCTAATCGTATCAAGTACGATAGATTTATTAAGCAACCTGGGGGGGGGGGGGGATCACATGGTTAAGTGGGTAAGACACTGACTCGCTAGCCTGGAGGTCGAGTGTTCGATCCCTGCATTGGCCGAGAAAGTCCATCCAGATTTTCCGGCGTGGTTCCCCCTTGTCAGTGATGCAGGACGGAGAGTCTGACAAGGACAGCTGTCTAGTCATTCGGATGAGACAAAAAAACAAGGCCCTGTGTACACATTGGCGTGAATGTAAAAGATCCCTTGACAGTTGGAATTCGATATAAGAGTAGGCCGTAGTGCCGCTGTCCGGGCAAAATTTCCCTCATAGCACACTGTATGGTGTATGCCCGTCTTCATTAGCCCAGTTCTGAGTAAAACAGTAGGACGTTAAACCCCATTTCATTTCATTTATTTAAGCAACCGGATCAGCTACAAATGCAGTAAACTCATATTTGCAAGCCTGGAAATAAAGCACCTGTCACATTGTCACAGACATTAATAAGGCACAAATTCAGACTTTGTCATGCATGATCCCTTTGGTGCCTGTCATTTTGTCTACCAAAGATGTATCTTCTATCTGTGTTTTTATTGATATTATTAATACATGTTAGATACAAAATGTCTGGTCCTAGTTCAGTTACACCTGACATTTTGTCAGGTACAACAAATCATTATTTAAGTGTTATTTTACATGAATGCTATTGGTACTGGCACGACATATCGTTGAATCGATCTATTGCAATTCACTTTCTCACGATTCTCGCATTGATTCCTAAGGCTTTGAATCGATTACATGCCATCAGCTAGATGTTGTTCCTTGCCAGGCACTGCACATGAGGAAACCTTTCCAGGCTTGAAATTTCCAGGGAACATTATAGTTAAACACTTGTGACTTTAAAGTGGGTAAGCTCTGGTGTATTCAATGATAAGACAGGAATAGAAATTTGAGCATTTGAATTAATGGTTAATAAATATTTATCGTTTCATATTTCAGAAAAAGAAGGGAAAGCCTTACAGTTAACATATAAAGATAAACTGAAACTGGTAGCCTACACGAAACAGGTTGTGTTTGGCAAGTTTCGTAATGATACATCACCAGATGTAGGATTTTTAGATGTAGTTGGTAATGATCGAAGGTAATAACTAAATAATCTTGCATGTATTCTTCAATCTTAAACATACATTATGCAAGAGCTAAATCTGTCTATTGCAGGTCTTTCTTTAGGCTTGAAATGTTATCTAAATTATTAATTAGACATTAATTAACCTATCCAGACCATAATCAACTCTACATGGCATCGCTAGCCTGCTATCTTTAGTGGATTATGAGCCGATTTACTGCATAACTTTCCTTCACGATTTTATTGATTAAATGGATAATTAAGACTATGCTGTTTATCATACTGACTTTAGTAATGATCAAGGCTAGCCGGAAATTTCAACCGCTTAGTTCTCGGTTCATAGTGGATCAATTTGAATGAAATTTTCAGCAAATTGCCTTTACATTATCTAGTTTTTAACTATTATAGTGAGAACTGCCAACTCATTATCGAATCTCCCATAATGTATCTTTAATAAAAATTGAATTGCAATGTTTTATGATTTTTACACTACATTGTGATCTAATCTACTTGTTTATATCACAATCGCATTCTGCCAATGACAGTTCCATGTGTATGAACAAATCATACTATATATATACGTAATGTATAAACAAAAACCCATCAGGGTAGAATTATGATTTTTCCAAGATATATTACGGTTTTTCGATCAAATGTTGAGTTGAATGGGAAATAAACATAAAATTTTTACTTATAAGTTGATATTTTATAAATAGTTATTTAGATAAAGGATTAAAAATATAAAAGATAGGCTGCCAGGCAACGAAATATATACGCTTACAGCAGCTAAGTTGTCCGGGGAGTCAACAAGGGTTATCGCACATTTATTTCTTTGGTCAGAAATGAAAACATTTACAATGCACTAAAATCTGATTATGAGTAACAACTCATCTGGCTTTTAGTTCTGCCCTGTTCTAACATTTAGCATACAAAACATTTAATATCAGTTGCCATAATCATTGGAAATCGTTGAAAATTGATAGGCTTCTTAGCCTCTAGAGTGCCCACAAGATTTTTCACAGAGGACCAAGGGCCATTACTCTAGCACTCAGTAATTATCGGAAATCTTTGAAAACCAAGGCACTGAAATGTTTGCTACATGTATGGGGCGCCACATAGTCTTGTGAGAGCCCTGTATGAACATAGGAGAAGATTACTGCAACCATTAATACCACCAGTGCTACTGGTGGGACGTTCTTATCCGCATAACACTGGCTGAACACTACTTCATGGAATCGGAGATAAGTTATTTACTGTTGGTGCAGTTAAAAACTGATAAAAACATTATAAAAATATATAAAATTTGATAAAAACATCATAAAGATCTTAAAATTGCACTAGAAGAACTAGAAGCTTTCATAAAAATATAAATTTTTGACAAAAATCTGTGTACGGTCCCTTCAATAAAGTTTGATTGGTAAATTTGTTCTTGTGATGTGAACACTGGTGGTAACTTTGTGGGGGTATCTCAGCAATGGCCCAAGCTATAGTAATAAAATTTTGAATTTATATGCTTTGGATAGTGATCTTTGGATAGTAATTTAGACAATTAAAGCAAAAAATCAAGGTTTATAGACACATTTACCGTCTTGACCTCATAGTTCATGGTTATAAATAAGCTATCATTGGCCGAGATAGTTCATCATGATTTTCCAATGTGGTTTCCCCATGTCACTTGTCAGTGGTGCAGGACGGAGGGCTTGACAAGAGCAGCTGTCTAGTCATTCGGATGGGATGAAAAACCGAGGTTCTGTATACACATTGGCATGCACGTAAAAGATACCTTGGCAGATGGAATTTTATATAAGAGAAGGCCATAGTGCTGCTGTCTGGGCAAAATTTCCCTCATAGCACACTGTATGGCATATGCCCGTCTTTATTAGCCAAGTGGGAGCAGAACAGTAGGACATTGAACCAACCCCATTTCATTTCATTTCATAAATAAGTTATCCATCAGTTGATGACAGACATATATGATGTATAATATAATTGAGTTTAGTTTGCATTAGTTAGCTGTTCTGTCAGATGTATACTGAGTGCACAGGTGTATTGCTCATTGTGTATAATGTATAATACAATATGTGCAGCAGAGTATAGTTTCTGTTCTACTAGACCTACATAAAACATGTACATGTATTTAAACATTTCCATTGAATTTCGCTTCGCTTTAAAAGTTACCTTTGCTCTGTCACTTATGAGTCTTTAACACATATTATTATCATAATGTGTGATATTATCTTTACATTCAACAGTTTTCAATAAAATTAGATTTGCATTTAGAAATAGAAATATTAATCTATTTACATTTGATTTGTTTGAAAAATCCAAGTGTCGGGGAAATTCCTTTGATGTGTGAATTTATTCAGTAGGTAGATTTGTCTAGATTGAGAAAATCACACATGATACATAGATGTGATCGTTCACCCCAATTTTATATACATTTATTCATTTATGCTCTCCATTTACACCTTACTACTAGTATAAACTACAAAATGGAGTGAAGCTTGTCATCAGGTGCCCCTTAGGACATGATGTGCAAATACAATTGAAACAGTATGTTCTACTTTTTCTAAGGCTAAATAATAGTGACTAATTTTACTTTAGTTGTTTTGGGGGTTTTTTTTATTCTCTTAAAATTACGATTGTGTCATTGTTTCAATGTATCATTTTGTCAAGATTTTCATGAATAAAGTACCAGTAGAACATTTATGGGCAAGATTTTTTTTTTTTTTTATTTTTTTATTTTCAAGCAATTATTTTAAATATAAATGATAGTTGTTTTGTATGTTTTATATTCACTGTTCTTCCATTTAATGGGGGTCACGGTGGCTAAGTGGGTAAGATGCAGGCCCGCTAGCCTGGCAGTCAGGTGTTCGTTCCCTGCATTGGCCGAGAAAGTTCATCCAGATTTTCCAGCGTGGTTCCCCCTTGTCAGTGATGCAGGACGGAGGGCCTGACAAGGACAGCGGTCTAGTTGTTCTGATGGTACAAAAAACTGAGGTCCTGTGTACACATTGGCGTGCACATAAAGATCCCTTGACAGTTGGAATTTGATTTAAGGGTAGGCCGTAGTGCCGCTGTCCGGGCAAAATTTCCCTCATAGCACACTGTATGGCGTATGCCCGTCTTCATTAGCCCAGTTTGGAGCAGAACAGTAGGATGTTAAGCCCCATTTCATTTCATTTCACTTCCATTTAATTTAACAATACATTCTAAGTTAGTCAACACACTGAAATATATGGAATAAGCATTACTGGTCAATTGTTTGAATGCATGATAACTTGGACCAAAGAGCACTCAGACCAAGATAGAAGACCACTCGGACCAAGATAGAAGACCACTCGGACCAAGATAGAAGACCACTCGGACCAAGATAGAAGACCACTCGGACCACGATAGAAGACCACTCGTACCACGATAGAAGACCACTCTGGCCAGGATAGAAGACCACTCGGACCAAGATAAGAAGACCACTCAGACCAAAACACATTCTGAGACAGAAGAGCACGGAGTCAGTGAGACCAAATAGAAATAATAAGACTACTCAATCAGTCAATGTATTGTTATTTATTTACTTAGAAGCCCACTCGGACCAAATTAAACTAAAAGACCACTCAATATATTGTGATTTATTTATTATTCAATCACATATAACTTAAAATTGAAAATCGCACTCCTTTACAAAGTCATGGGCGGTTTATTATCATTTATGACATCAAGAATGACCCCATTACATTCAGAACATAGTGATCTTCTAGTCTCTATCATCCAGAAAAATATTTTACAAATATTAGTCTGGATGCGTTGTCAACATTTAAGAAAAATAGGTCATTGGCTAGATTATCCGGGTCTTTTACATTATCATAAATGTCTAAGGGAGGTAACTTGTCCTAAAACAAGATGATAACGTCCATGGAATTCATTTAAGAATGCCATTTTAAATAATCCATTTGATTGCTGCATGCCAGTTCAATATCTCTCTTCATGGGCCTATCTATGTTTTTTAAATTAATCCTAATTCGTCGTCACGATTCATGTTTGTTTATATTGATGCAAGAATTATGGGATTTATTGCGGGAAGGGGTGCAACTGTTACTTGACTTGGCCAAAGATAAACAACCACATTAAAAACCAAACTCCCGGTTAAACATGGCAATGAACTTTACGTCAAATATTGACAATGGTCCCAGACCCCCCGTACGTTGAAAACTAGGAGGTTCTGGGTGACAGAGATTATTGATCTTCAGAACTATTTCCCCATACGCACAACTAATCACTCTCCTTAAAATCAGATCACTCTCCTTAATTTCTAAATGACTTTTCTTATCGAAACTGGGAGAGTTTTTTTAGGCAAGCGATTTTTCAATTTGTTGATTAAGGGGAGCTGTTTTCAGCTGTCCTCTAAACAACAACGACTGCAATAAGATATACAGCTACATGTAGGCATTGGTTGATATCTACATATTATATGTATCACTTATATTAGTAAGTGCCGGAGGACTGTGACATGACTGTATTAAAAAAAGAGTAGTTTTAATCTGGAAAGCATTTTGGGTGCCAAAAAGTTACCACATGTAGGGTCCTTGTCCATCTCTCGACCTTTGATTCCACCTATCTCTGACAAGGTGGGAAAAATGCCTTTTTTTGAAAGCGTGGAATTATTTCATCAAAAGGTCTTGTTGGAAAGTACAATGATCCTAGAGAACAATCAAGTAAAAATTTGTTGGCCAAATAAGAGTTACTATTTAAGAAAAAGTAGAGAAAGGGAAAAGGTACAGATCCTGTGATTCCAACCTTGTTATTTTTCTACGGATAGAATGGGTGGTTTCAGACCAGTTATTTGCCCTAGAATTTGACTATCTATTTATATGATGGGTATGAATATAATCGACTTGAGGCATTTAGGCATAATAATAAGTTTACCTTTAAAATCAATAATATACTGTATACATGAACACATTTGAGCCTCAGTATAACATTGAATATATTCATTAGTGTTGTTTCACATTCAATAATAGTAATAAAGCTCATCGGATTTCACACTTTACATGTGTTCATATCAATCAAATTCACAGCCACAGCCCACCAGCCCACACTTGATTTTTGTTAATCTACTGAAGCCATGGTTGTCGACAAAGGATTTCTTGATAATTAATGATGATTAGCCTGATAGAACTATAAAAGTTTATTATTTATTATGTGATAATCACATCAAATCATATGACAAAATGGCAGAATTCTTGTATTGAAAACATGTTATATCCTGCCCCATTCCAGTATTTTTCTAAATCCAACAGGCTAGGGTTAATAAGAGCTGTCTGAATTTAGCTGTCTAGCATCTAAAGTTATCATCCAATCTGTATTACATTTAGACGCATTATTTAAGTTACTAAAACAAAGAAGTCTTTGGATTTAAGCAATTTCGAGTAATAACTTCTAGAGTTATGACCCTTGATTCACTTTGTTGAATCTTGTGAATGCTTGAACGACTAGACTTCTCACCCTAGTTTCACTTTGTTGAACCTCTTGTGAACTCTCTCACAACAAAACTTATCATCCGATCTGTATGAAATTTGCTGAACCTTGTAAGTGGACCTCAACAAAAGTCATCATCAGATATTATTAAATATATATGCATTATATAGATTAGTAAAATAAGAAGCCTATTATATTCAGCAATTTCTCTTAACACTTCTACAGTTGTGGCCCTTGTTTCACTTTATTGAACCTTATGAACACACTAAAGACGATATGAAATTGATATCAGTGTCTTGTAAATTCTCCCATTACCTACAAAACAATAAACTGTGGCAACCCTTGTTGGCTGCTAGGACTATTTAGCTATGGTGGGCGTATGTTTCATTGTCTGGCAACCTATCTTTGTTTTTACTCTTGATTGATTATATCTATTTTCTTCTCTTTACAGACAAGCATGGCAGTCATTAGGAGATATGTCGAAGGAATGTGCAATGGAAGAGTTTATCAAGTCATTAAATTCCACATGTAATTTATTTCAACCGTATGTTAAAGCTTTGAAAACAGAACAAGAAGAACAAATTAGAAAACAGTAAGTTGACAGAACATGATTCACTATGTTTACAAATTTTTGTAGGTTTGAATACATGTACAGTACATGTGCAAGATTTTATATCAAAAAATACACATGAAGAAGTCATTTCCAATTCTCAAAAATATTTTACAGAATACACATTAAACACAAGTAATTTTGTTCACAAAATTTGTACAGATCACCCACAAATCATATTGTTTTGAAAAAGATCAATTGAAGACTATAACAATCTGATTAAAATACAGATCTATATTTCATTTCCTTCTTTTTTTATACATCCTCTACTACATGAAGATCTGATCAGTTGTGGTGGGAGGTTGCGTCAGGGCAGCTTTTTACCCTATGATTTCAGACATTTGATTAACCAATCAGTGTTGATGTTTCTAGTAAGAGACCCACAGTTCCGAACATCGCACGCCAAGAACTCCTTGCAACGGACCGTTTCATTGGCTAATCCCTCACATCAACCACAACGTGGGTTATATAACAACTCTTTCAGATCCTAGTGTAGTAAAGACAAGTAAAATGAAATTTTGAACTAAAAAACGAAAAGCAATAGGATTTGTGTTTTAAACAGATTGAGAATATAACTACCCGGTAAACTCAAAGCAAATAGTTCCAGTCAGTTGAAGCCAGTTGCCCATGCTTCAACTAGCGGCAACTAGTGGCCATCAATATTAGGGATTTTACAACTGGTGTCAACTCGTTTCTATGGAAATAACATCATGTGATAAGAGACGTGACTTTATAAATAAGCAAAATGGAAGGCACCCACTTATATTATGTTGATGATGTCGACAATAATGTATTAATAGAATTGTGGCAAGACTGACCTTACCTTTGGTGTGCAGCTTCTTCTAAAGTATTCGCCACGTTGTTGATCACATGATTTCTTAAATTAACAGTCACATGTTAAGTGTAATTGCTATTAGTTTGGAGTCGACATAAGTGCTCCTAATCCATTTGCTCTCAGTTGTCCCCAGGTACTGAAATGATTGACATAATAAGCACACTTGCAACTAACTGGAACTAGTTGCAAAGTCGACATAAGCCTCCCTTTGAAGATAGTCTACAGTCAGCATTGGTCGTATGTGAATGACAACAAAGTTTGTAGTTATTAAAAGAATTTTCCATGTAGTAAATTGTTTATATTCAGCTTATAGGACAAATTTTACTACAGACATTTATTTGTTAACTTTCCATCCAACAGAGAGTTGAAAAACTCTCTAAAATGTTGAATTGTAAATTTGTATAGAAAAGAAGAAGAAGAGAAAAGATTACATGAAGAAGAAGAAAGAAAACGCCAAGAATTAGAAGATGAGGCTAAAAAACAACAACAGGTAGAAAGACAGAGACAAGTAGAACAACAGTAAGTAAACATTATTATTACCAGTAATATAATATATGTCCATTGGTAACATGCTAGAATCCACAAAGCAGTTAATATAGATGGGGATTTGGGGTTGTGGTAGATGGAATTAGATAGGATTTAACAGCAACCAAATTTGATTTATTTTAAGGCATGAAAAATAATAGAGAAGGCCCAATGTAGAGGACCTTCATGCACAGTTATTCATGAATATGTTTGAGTCTATATATACATGTTCTTCTATTGATTTGTTATCCTTCTAATCAAGTCTCGATGTTTTCTTGGAAGGTATACACATTTACAAAAGTCCTACATCAAAACACCAATAAAATTGAACATATTATAGTCCGGTCAGCCTGGAGCAACATCATATTTTCGAGCAAACGCAGAGTAACATTATATTTTAATGTAGTCAGCTTGGGTAACATCATATTTTAATGAAGTAAGCTTGGGTAACATCATATTTTCGAGCAGTCGCTGAGTGTACTGTTACATGTTTTAGAATAGTTTTTTAAGCACGGTAACATCATATTTTAGTGCAGTCAGTTTGGGTAAAATATTATTTTTACGTGTTTGGGGTGACATACATCATATTTTGGTGCGGCCAGGGGTAACATATTTTAGAGTAGTCGGGGAAGACATCATATTTTGAGAAATATCAATGGTTTAAACAGAGTAATATTATGTTTGTTACAGGATTCAGATTCGAGCAGCATTAAATCAACAAACCGAAGTACAGTTCCGTCAATATGCTGAGCAACAATATCCTGCTAATACACAAATGGTACGTACATACAAAAAAATTTTCTGGTTCTCAGTAAATCCTTTACAATAACTTTCGTCTCAATCTACAGATGAAAGCACAAATTGTTTAGTTCTATTGAAATAAATTTATACCATATGTTAGTCCCGAAATGACCTAGTTTGTGTTGAGTGGACGTTAAACCCCATTTTTCTTTTTCTCTGTTTAGTTCTTATGTGAATGCTCTTCCTTCCAAGTTCCAACTCCTATAAAGTATCATTTCAGTCATTTCTTTGTCAATGCTGAATGTAGTAACCAAGATACTTATCATCCATGAAAGAATGGATTTAATTCAGTTCAAACATATCTATAAGAGTTAATGGTAACCAGTTCCTGATAAAAATGAGGCAGTTTACGGTTGTCAAGTACATACCGTTTATATTTTTCAATTTTTGTATCAGGGTTGTTTACTTGGTGCCAGTGGTCATGTTGGTGTAGTTAATGCATCAGATTTTCACTGAATCCCTGTACATAATATTTTATGTATGCTAAAATCTGGGACAAAGCCAAGAACTAGTTTTTCGGAAAGTCGTAATTTCTGTCGAAAGTGACTGTTGTTATTAGTAAACATGTCTGAGATTATCTGTCAAATGAAAAATTGAAACTCAGTTTTGTGTCCCTTTCTTTTCAGCAAGATGAGTTAATACGACAGTTACAAGAACAACATTTTCAACAATACATGCAACAAGTTTATCAACAACAAATGTTACAACAACAACAAATACAACAACAAACAACAACTACAACAACAACCACCCATAATCAATCATTACGACAAGATCATGATAATCAGCTCAATAATGTTAATCATGTTGCTAGGTTACAAGATGGCACAGATGGAGACGGTAATTTATATATTGTTTTTCAGCTTGAGATTACTGAACTTTATATGTCATGATTTTTTTTTAAACAATATTTTTATTCAGGATATCGGAATGGAATTGGGGAACAGGCTTAGCCTATGTAAAACCCCTCTCCCTAATGTCAACATAAATTGGTTTTATCGTCATCATCATGTTTCAGAACTATTCTTTGCTTTTCTTTTAACCATTGTGTCCCTTCCCCCCCCCCCCCCCCCCGACTTTTTCTCCTAATCTGCCCTATGGAATTTTAACAAAATTTGATAACTATGTTGTGATCACCCAATATCTATAGGCAGATCACATGCTTAAACCCAATTCGATTGATTCCTTAAAAAAAGATCTTCTTCGGAATGGCTGAATAGATTTCTTTGCTATTTCGTAAGTTTGGTTCACACATTTTCAAATTTTTTTCAAAGTCTATTCGATGGATTACATAAAACCAAAACTGATACATATGTAATAAACTGAGGCTATACTATAGAGCTGGGCAATATCCCTGGAAACAGAAATTGCGATATATTTTGAAAATTTAAAACAAAATTTAATGATTTCAAACACAGATCTATTTATAGCCATGAAAACTTGTTAAAAATATTGGTCTATGTTGTTTATTAAAATTTTAAATTTGCAGTATATTAATTATGATATTTTATTTAAATTAAGAATATTTACATGAAGGAGGCACAAAAGACATTTTAAAAAAGCCTGTGTTCTTCCAGACATGCATAATTTTTATAACTACCCATACGGGTACAATTGGAATCATTGGATGCTATTCATGTATCCTTGGCAAACTCGTTTTTCTCACTCAAGCGCATGCCTTTTTGAAAATGCATTATGCAATGCAAAAATACTAAATTATACTATAAAATGTAAGTACTATGTCAAAAAGTGTTCATTGATTTATTTAGTCAAATATTTTTTTCCGAATCACGAACAGCCATGACACGTCTGACACTGAATGATAATCAGTCTACCGGAACTCTCAATATAATTGGCCTTATTTATATTTAATTCAATCTGAAAATCAATAAGTAGAAGCAGGGATACTTTTAACGGTATTGGTCGGGTGGAAAAGTGAGAGAGAGAGAGAGAAGCCATGTGACGTAAATAAGGTTCTTTATCGACATTTGCTAACTTCGTGGAATGAATACGAAGGAGTTTATAACAGTATTTGTTGCTATTTATTCATCATTAAGCAATAAAATGTCGTAAATAACATAAAAAGGAAGACATTTTTTCAATATTTATGTTAAATATCATCCGGAAAGATCAAAACCGCGATATATTGCAGTATGTTCGGTTTTTTTATATTATTCTGAAGTTGGTATTTTTGATGTTTTTTATTTCTATGACGGTTTTATATCGAAATATCACCCAGCTCTACTATATTGTGTCCGATTACTAAAACTAGGACTGTAACAAATAGAATAAGTGTACTACTTTCAACACTCATTTCAGATACTGTCATCATTTACCCGATATGTGACTTTGTTTTTAAGCCTTTAAATAGGGTTTTTGGTCAAAAGCAAAAGGAACAGAACTGGAATTTTATAGACAGACTGATGGGATATATTTAGTAGGGCTGTGGTTAAAATGTGTATTTTACAACAGGACTTCACTGTCCTGCTGGCCTGAAACTTGCACAACTGAGCATACTTTAAATGCATGAAATGGGGTTAAAGTCCTGCTTTTCTGCACCAACTTGGACTAAAGAACGACGGACATACAAATTCCGATTGTCAAGGTTTTTTTTATGTGCATGTCAACTGGACCTATGTTTTTCATTTCATCTGAATGACTTGAGGCATTTCCTTGCTAGACCCACTGACGACATAGGAAAACTGCCTTGGTAAATCGTGGGGAACTTTCTGTGCAAACACGTGGATCGAATCCGGGACGCCCGTATTAGTGAGCTATTTTAAATGCAATAGAAACTGGGGATATGTAAGAAATAAAAGTAACCAGATTAAAAAAAGCAACCTTTTTTTTTTATTTTTTCCCCAAGCCTAGACTAAATGACAATGTCAAAACACTGCTCTCCCACCCATAAGTCATTTCCAAATGAAACAGCCCAACACCACCTAGGCTATCTGTAATAATCTTTGCTTTTACAGCATAAACTTCACTTGTAAATATATATTGATGCTTGCTACCCTAACCTCACCATTTCAGCATATCGACCTTTCACCCCTGAGATCCTACCTGCGTCACTATGGACACGCCCTGAACTTAGTTCATTTAAAGAGGAGATCAGACCAATTAAAGAACAGGTGTTAAAAATCAACTGTCTTGCTACAGCCACGGTGAGTGTTTATGTCACGTTTTAATCCATGTCTCTCGTTGTGTTTGTAGATGACTTACCTCCCCTTGCCGCAGCCTCAATGTGGACGAGGAAAGAAATAAAAGAGTTGAAAGATTCGCTACGAAATGATAAAGATTCTATAATTAAAGTAGGATCAGGGGAGACTGTGACAGTGAGTATTGAATGATAGAATAGCTTAGCATATCATTGTGACTAAAAGCATGGCATTAGTTACAAAGAATTCTTAATACATAGCAATAATGATATAACTATTAAAATAAAATTTGATTTCTTTAAAATAGTTTTTTGTTTTCTTCTTTTTTTAAAAAACCTTCTCAATCTTTATAACATGATCTAATATTATAATATATATAATCAGAATAGGTAATTATTTTTTAAAAATAAGATATATAGACATAAAACTACTAGTAATAATTCACAATGATAAAGAATCATTTTGCACTTCATTTATTTACTAATAAAGACATTTTAACTGTGTGCTGCCTTATTTTCTTTTCTCACCACATTCTTGTTATATTAGAAAATTTTAAATTATAAATAATATTTCAACTTTTAAAATGAAAGCCTTTTGTATGTTTGTTACTACTGATAAATTATTCGAATAAAACATCTGGAATTTCATAGAAAATGTGGACTAGTACTTCAGATGGCAAAAAAAACAGGGTGCACCTCTGTACGCATCAGAAAGTAGAGCTTTTCTTTTATCATTGAGTCAGTGAAACTAAATGCAAGTACAGCCATAATCTTTTATTGATGTATTATCTACATACCTTCACATATGTAAAAGAATGCTTGATAGTTTGAATTTGGTGCAAAGTGTGTAGAAATACTGTCAAAATCTTCTACTTAGAATTGCACACTTGACCATATAAAAGAAAGTCTTAAAGTGACATAAATATTGTGTTTTCAAGATATTTTAAACTCCATCCCATTCCCTTGTTTATTTTCTGTCTGTTTCATTGAATTTTGTCCTGTCTTGTATTTTGTTGATAATTGTAATCACTCCAGTAACTATTTGTATAATTATTTACAGAGAGAGAGGCAGTGAATCATATTGAATCTTGTGGGGTTGGGGAGGAGGGAGTGGTTTAACACTAGGACTGCAATGATTCATTGATGAACCGCGATGTTTTAAAAATCCACGATGTACAATACAATCAGTGTCCATATCGCGATTCGTTATCCAAATAATAATTTCACAAAAATACATTAATATTCCTCTAAATGCGTAAATAAGTCCATGAGCAAAATAACTTTTTTTCTTTCAGGGAGTGTTATGACGTTTTTGACGCATGAAGTGGCTTATTATTATAGCTATTTCATCACGATGAAAATATCAGTCTGGTTAAGCAGGTCGTGCTGGAAATTAAGTTGCGTTCAAATTACACACTTGAATAATGTGGGAAAAAACATATATACTCAAAGCCATTAAAACGCAATGCCTAATTCGTGAAATATTTCTGGTAAACATTTTCTTGGGCTTTCTATCTTATGGCACATAGGTGAAACTTGTGATGGGTCTCTTTTTGTGGAGTTCTGGGTTTGAACCCAATATCAGGTCTCGGTAATGAACTTTGTTTGTGCAAACGCAACACTTGTCTTTTTTCACGATTTTAAGCAGTCCCATGTCACACATTTTGCACGTGCATTCACTGCACTCTGGATCTTTAAATACAGATCAAAATTTCAACATTTATCAATTCGGAACAGAGCTATTGGCATGCTGAATCAGTGGGCTTCACTGGTACATGTAGCCGTCGCCAGACACTTCAATGTCCATTCATCGACCATTGCTGGACTCAGACAACGCTTGCATGCCACTGGAAGAATTGCTGATCGACCCCGACCTGGAGTGCCACCTGTAACAACCGCTCTCCAGTCAGCTACTGCTACTGCCAGGAGAACTGTTGGAACACAACAACGTCAGATCAGCCCTCGAACAGTTCGAAGGCGTCTTGCTGCTCTTGGGTTACGCTGCCGTCGACCTTATCAAGTTGTTGCAGTAAATAAACTTTGAATTTGGCATTGCGTTTTTAATGGCTTTGAGTGTATATATGTCAATAATATGCAATTTGTAATAAAATTACTGTATAAGAATGGCGATTTGTACATAATGCATATGTTGATCCACACATATTTTCAATGTATGTTAATGTTTGACACTAAAAACTTCGTACTGCTATTTACTTTGCCGTTCTGTAATCTATGACTGACGTGCCAACGAGAAAGCTTTTCATTGGTTGAGATTGTTGTGGCCATACGAGCCAGCCAGCTGAAATTTTTTCATTATGAATTCACCAAATTCAGTATGGGAGTTTTTAGGATTCCACGTTAAGCATGACAGCAATGAAATCCGTTCAATTGACCGAGAAAACACCACATTTAGAGTAAAAGTAGGCCTTGAATTTTCACAGTGAAAGACTTTCAAAATCTAACAGCATTTTAAATTTATTTCCTATATCGCGATATTAATAGTATCGTAGGCTATTTAACACAGGCATTGTAGATTACATGGAATGGTTTCTATTACGAGAACTCGGCATTCAAAAAAATTCAAGTGAATTAATGAAATAACAATTACTGTATGCTAGTCCAAAAATTACGTTGTTAATGTTGTGTGAATTGTTTACTTTTTCTCCTATTGAATTTACTCATCGTCAGATTTATTACACATGATGTTTAAAATGTTTTTGAATATTTAGGAAGTGAGAAGTAACCTAGTGATTTTCTGCTTATATATTTAGGCTTGTTTTAATTATTGGGAAAAAAAATACTATTAAATTTTTTAAATGCCAATAATTAAAAGTAATTGCACTTGATCATATAGAATTTTGTATAGACATAGTTAGCATCCCAATTGTATTAAATTTAGATGCATTGTTTGTATCAGTACAGGGAATTATCAAAAATTTCAACTATGTTTGGTAGTTATGACATGTAGACTGTAGAGTTATTACAGACTTGAAATATTTTTTAATTAAAAAGGTTAGGCCTAAATATGCTTTTTGATATTTCACACAAAAATTAAAATCCTGACGAAATTTCAACAAGGTTCTGAAGATAAAGCTGTTTGTGGGATTATGTTTCATTTCCTATCTACTAAATATTTACATATAAATGCTATATTTTCAGGTTCGGGTGCCGACACATGAAGATGGTAGTTGTTTATTCTGGGAGTTTGGTACAGATTATTATGATATTGGTTTTGGTTTGTATTTTGAGTGGACGGAATCACCAAATAATAACGTTAGTGTACATGTTAGTGAATCTAGTGATGAAGAAGATGTAGACGAAGAGCAAGCACAGGGTGAAGGTCAGTAGACTTTTCATCTGAGGGCCTTACACTTTTGATTTTCAGAAGCCTTCCTGTCCAACCTCGTGGGTTTTCTCCGGGTCCTCTGGTTTCCTCCCACTGCTAAAGACCTCTACGCGCAAGCGAATGATTGAAATAAAATTGAACCATGTGTTAGTCCCGAAATGACCTAGTTTATGTCGATTGGACGTTAAACCCCATTTCTCTCTCTCTCTTCAGAAGCCTTCATAAATGTCCATGCACCTGACAGTGTTCTTCAATAAATTTTATTAAATTTGAAAAACGATGATTTCATAATATGTTAATGATATCAATAATTTATGATTGTTTCCCTGTCCTTGATGACTGGTTTCTTCATTATAAGAAGGGTTATCCATCAAATGAAAATGATACACAGATGCTAATACAAATTAAAATATCACAAATTTATAAAGTAGGCAATTATTAACCTATCATGGTCGTTTATTTAATTGAAGAGAAGAATCCTATTGATTTTCAATGTCATATGTTTCGTTGCCTGAGTTGTGTCTTGAAGGTATATTGTTTTATCTTTTTATATACAGATGCTAAAGCTGATGTAGAAAGCGGTAAAAAGCGAGATGATCGACCACCAACAGATGAAATAATACCAGTATATAGACGAGATTGTCATGAAGAAGTTTATTGTGGTAGTCACACGTATCCAGGCCGTGGTGTATATTTACTGAAGTTTGATAATTCATATTCATTATGGAGATCCAAGACTTTATATTATCGTGTCTATTATTCTAAATAATTATTTAATGTATGATGAATAGATAATATTTTTATGGGATGTTTAAATTATTGCGGGCTAAGCTTGTAATTTATATATATATATATTGTGAAAATTGTAAAAAGTCTTGTTACTGCAGAGCGTACTTGTTTACCTGGGGGTTTTCAGGGGTCGAATTATAGAAATTTAAAATTTCTTTCTAGCTCATAAACATCAAAACTATGTCAAAAGAATGAATGTTAAGAGGCATTATCTCTTTGTAAGTCTTTCACCAAATGGTACAAGATTATTTTGGATTTGTTCAGATTAGTGTATATGCAAAATTTGAGAGCAATTTACCAAGCTTTCGCTGAGATATACATGTTTTAACTATCAAATGCTTTACGGTCCTACTCACAAGGCAGAAAAATTTAGTTTCACAAATATCTCTACTGTTGTCAACTGTCAACGTAATCAGATTGCTGTCAACACATCCTTTGATATGGTCACAAAGTTGAAATTTTTATCAACAGAAGTGTGAGAAATCGTATCAAATATGGTAGTTAAATGGTTGCTTACAATAGTTAATTTTGACAGTTGATCTAAATTAAGGGCTGGACTTTTCTAAAACTTGTGTTGTGGGGACTGTTCAGTGGTTTTCAGCAACCTTACTCTTCAGTAGCTTAGTGTTTGACTTGTCAAAAATTAGGTGAGTGAAAGCTTTTTTTGAATATATTATTCAGAATTAATTACAACTGTTTTTTAGCTTAAAGTGATAATGCCTCTTTGAAGATTTTAGGGGATGGGATACGGTAACTTTTTCAAAGGTACTGTTTCCTAAAATAATTGTAAAGCAAGAGATAAATTGGAGTTAAAATTAATCATTCCGAAAGAATTTACCAATTTATATAGATGGAGATTAGAGAGAGAAATCTCGACAAATATTGTATAATAAAAGTTGTTTTTTTAAACTGATATAGAGATTTATAGAGAAAGAAAAAAGTTGAGTTGAAAAAGACACAGTGTTGAAACCTACATGTAAAATAGCTAATTACACCCAAATTGTCTGTCCTGGTTAAGATCTGGCAAAATTCTCCTCCATGTAAACATAACAATAGAACTAAAATAAGCATATGTTAATCTCAAACTGTACTTTTTACTGACAGCTGATAATGGTATAAAGCTATAACATTGGGTCTACTGACTGATAGCTAATGAAGGTATAAAAGTTATAACATGGGGTCTATTGACTGACAGCTAATCAAGGTATAAAAGTTATAACATTGGGTCTTTTTCACCGTGGGCTTAAAATTGTATTCACTAATTAAATTATGTTAAATACTTAACTTATAGAAATTATATAATGTCAGATTTATAAATATATATAATTAATACACAGTAAGACTTCATTTATAAAAAAAGGTTAATGCAAGCAAGAAATTAACAATTGGATAATGATCATTTATATAAAAACATATTGGCCTAATGAATTTCTAGTCTGATAAAAGATGATTTAACATCTGTAAGATAATTTGGTTTCCCATCATTCTTACAAATATTGTGATATTAGTCATTCTTTTCAGCTTATTTTGTGCAGAACTTCCAGCTTAATTGGTCCAATAATTACCTTGTATTGAATATCAATGAGAAAATATATTATAAATGGTGTCATTCAAGAACATGCATGTACATAGAAGTGATTTTCACATTGAGGGAGCCAAAATTGGCAAAAGTAATTTGGGTTGTGTCATGTAATTAATAACAAGATATTAAGTGTCATGAGAGACTACAGCAGGTTATAATTTGAGTTGACTGTAAGGTTTAATATTATTATTAATACTGTTATGTTTAATATGTGTTAGATGTTTAATATTAGAAATGTTGTGATCATCAAATGAACTTTGTATATTATATCTATTTCATTGTTTTAAAGCCACCACCGTGTCTTTTTATATGCCCATATAGAAATGGGGTCGTATATTGCCGTCACCCCTGTCCATCTGTCGTTCAGTCTGTCGTCCACAATTTCTTGCGAACACTCTACAGACAACATTTATCATCTGATTGTTTTAAAATTGATATATGTTGTTTACATTAGAAGCCATTTTAATTTCAAAAATTTCCATTAATTTCTTCTGGAGTTACCTGTATGGCCCTTGTTTCACTTTGTTGCACTTTGTTGCACTTTGTGAACACTCTAACAACAAAAGTAATCGATTCGATTTAGTGAAACGAAGACACCTATTGAATTTAAGCAATTTCCGTTAATAAAATCTAGAGTTATGGCCCTTGTTTCACTTTGTTGAACCTTGTGAAGGCTCGAACGACAAAAGTTATCATCCAATCTGTATGAAATTTATATGCATCATTTAAATTAGTGAAACGAAGAAGCCTATTAAATTTCAACAATTTCTGTTAATTACTTCCAGAGATAAGGACCTTGTTTCTTTTTATAGAACCTTGTAAACCCTCAAACGATGAAAATTATAATTACAACGCTATTCGACCGCTCAGACAATTTAGCTGCTGTGGGCGTATGTTTTGTTGCCTGGCAACCTGTTTTTCCATCATATTGTTCCTCATCAACTCATGTATAACTTTCAATAAGTTCACTACAGCTTTAGTTATTTGAACTTTACACTGATGCTACTGCCAAGACCCATGGATACTATTTTAAAATGCTTTCTTGACAACAGTACTAAAACAAATCATTACATATTTGTGGTTTTTGTTAGCACACTCGAATCTTGTATTTGAAATTTTCACTGTTTTATCTCGTGTTATCATTATAAGCTACCGAATGTCATTTGAAGGATATTAAATCCCCTACAAGTTACATTAATGTGAAATTTGAATCTCTCAAAGGAATATCAATCAAAATATGCTTTAATTCTGTTTATTATTTACATATAAAACTTGACAATTTTGTAACATACGACAAACATAAACAAGCCAGTATTATTCCATTGTCCTCTTTAAATTTGTAGAAATCTACCCTTGTAATTTGGTTTGTATTCTTAATTAATTTAAATAATCAATTTGAACACATGAGTAATATGAAAACTTAGATATCAATGGCTTTCAAACCAATTCTGTAAATGAAGTCCGGTTTTGTGAACTTTGATCATGCAATGTATTTTATCTCCCCTGCTTGTGTATATAATTAGTGTGTGAATACAGCCATATTTCAAAGTGAATAATTGACACTTTATCATTGTAAATTAGCTGATAGAAATAAATAATAACTAAAATGATAAAGAATACTAATTCATTTATAACTTTTTCCCAGATGCATGGAGCTTTCAGTTAAAGAAATGGAGTTATGTCCCTTACATTGGACTGGGACCTATTTAATTTAGTTAGTGAAATCGAATGCAAGCCCAAGCAGTAGTATAGTGTTATCTTATTAAATTGAATTTACACTGCCAGTGCTCATCTAATCTTTATCATATTTGATGTAATGACTTGCCAAACAACAAAATATTAGTTGGTTTATTATGGATTGATTCAAAATGGAAATGGCTAGTTTTTTTTAATGGCTAGTTATTAACCAAATTATGATGAGAAGGGAGGGATGCTTAATACATTTCTAAGAAAAACCAGCAGGTGGGTGCTTATTAGAGTAAGGTTAGTTGTTACAATGAATATGGTATATATGTCTTCAGCATTTACAGTCTTACAGTATTTCTTCCTAGATAAACTTAAATCTCCAAACATTAAAACCTCGACCATCATAATTCCCATTTAGTTAGAATTTACAGGAAAGGGGGGCAGTTTTGTTATTCATCATATCGTATTAATAGTGTGATATGTTATTGTATTGTATATATATAGTAAATATATTATATCTAAACAGTGCTGTACTTCAGTCTTTTTATATTCTCACAGAGAAGTGTGGTCATATATACATGTATTGTCATCCGTCTGTCCAACTATTTCCGATAATTACTGTCTGAGTTATGGCCTTTGATCGCTTACCAATGAAGCTTAGGTGCCATAGGAGCATATGTTTCAGAGTCTAGTAACCTATCTTATCAACCATTAATAGAACATAGCTGTATCATAAGCATGGAAAACATGTAATACATGTCTTCAGATAAAGGTACTATAACCGCTAGGTTCTTCAATAGCTAATAAGTCTGGAATTGTTCTTCAATCTTTTAATTGCTGGAACTTATATCTTACAAATTAAAATAATTAAATACATACAATGTACACTTCCAGCACAGTGGATGACCAACGTAGCTGCTACTAAGTCGGGTGACCTAATGACTTGCCTGTTGATGTATATTAGCCTTTTTATATTCTTACTATAAATGGATAAGCTCAAGTGTTGACATCAAAATATATACTATTCAGGATTATCTCTAGAGACATTCACATAAATAAACAATAATGGATTAAATAGGTAACTAGTTACCCTGACTGATATTAACCATGACACATTATTAAATACTATCTAAAACTGAATTGCGGCCTGTAGGCGAAACACAAACATTGGGCGTGGCTCTGTCCCAGGGAGGTCGACACTTATACTCTATTATTTTGGTTGATAATGTCTGTAAATGATATACAGGTTGCAATTATTAACAGATTTGGATCCAATTCGGAATGATCCAGCATAGGGTTGTACCTATGTCCAGCCCCGAGGGGCAGAGCCACGCCCAATTTTTGTGTTTTTTATCTACAGACTGGAATTCTAAATGGATTATCTTGGCATATTTATTCCTTATACTGTAAGGATAGCAACTATTTATTTTGGTGCATGTCCCGACCCCCTGGGGCAGTGTCAGACCCACTTTCTTGTTAATATTTTATCTGAAAATTTGTCAAAACAAACCCAAAGTCTATCCTTCTTTGCCTCTTGTCACATTACAGCCATTTCATATTTCATTCTCTTCATTTTAAAAGTAGCACATCAATCAAAGCAGAAATGTGGACGTATAGTGCAGCGTTAACTATGCTCTCGTCAATTTTCCCTCTACTGCTGCAGTGAAACAAGAATATTCGTTATTATTAACATCGCATGTATTCACAGTTCAATCATCTAGCAATTTGTTTCCATAACTTAAGACCTATCCGTGGAACCGCAACTCTGTAATGTGTCATTCTCTGATAAAATTCTGGATCTTCTTGAATTACTTTCTGTATCCATTCCCACTCACTGAAGCACTCAATGTTCTAGTTCTATATATACATTTTTATACGCCCACATTTTCATGTGGACGTATATTGTCGTCGCCCCTGTCCGTCCGTCCACCATTGTTTGTAGACACTCTACAGGTCACAATTTTTATTCGATTTTGACGAAACTTAAAATGTAGGTCTATCACCCAAAGATCCCGGTTCCTTTTGATATTGCATATATCGGACCATAACTTCATGGATTATGACCCCTGATTGTACGAAAAATCCGGTTTTAGCTTGTGGGCACTCTAGAGGTCACAATTTTCATCTGATTTTGATGAAACTTGAAATGCATGTTTATAACTCAAAGATCTTGGTTCCTTTCGATATTTGCGCATAATATCTGATCGTAACTTCCTGAATTAAGGTCCCTGATTGTACGAAAACGATTTAAAAAAAACAACGTTCTAATATATCACCGTTAAACTGTAATGAAGCTTGTGCACGAATTTCGTGAAAATAGGACCAAAACTGCCGGACAAAATGGCCGCCCCTCGTACGCAAATAGTGTAAAAATATGGTATATCAAGGTTGTGGACACTCTAGAGGTCATAATTTTGATTCCATTTTAATGAAACTTGAAATATATGTTTATAACCCAAAGATCTTGGTTTCTTAACATATACGCGCATATCGGATCGTAACTTCCTGAAATTTGGCCCCTGATTGTACAAATAATCGCGTTTTTAGCTTGTCGACCCTCTAGAGGTCACAATTTTTAGCCGATTTTAAAGAAACGTGTGAATGTATCACCGTTACACCCTTCCTAATGATGGCTGAGTTTGAATTTCGTGATAATAGCACCAAAACTCCTGGACAAAATGGTCACCCCTCGTACGCAAATAGTGTAAATATAGGGTATATCAAGGTTATGGACCCTCTAGAGGACACAATTTTGATCCGATTTTGATGAGACTTGAAGAAGATGTTTATAACCCACAGATCTTGGTTCCTTTCGATATTCACGCCGCGCACGCGTATTGGATCGTAACTTCCTGAATTGTGGCCCTTGATTGTACCAAAAATCGCGTTTTTAGCTTGTGGTCACTCTAGAGGTAACAATTTTTATCCAATTTAAAAACACGTTTGAATATATCACCGTTACACCCTAAAGATGTTTGGGTTCGAATTTCGTGAAAATCGGACCATAACTGCTGGACAAAATGGCCACCCTCGTACGCAAATAGTGTAGATATATGGTATGTCAAGGATGTGGACCCTCTTGAGGACACAATTTTGATACGTGTTTATAACCCAAAGATCTTGGTTCCTTGATTGTACGATAAATCGTGTTTTTAGCTTGTGGTCCCTCTAGAGGTCACAATTTTCATCCGATTGAAAAACACTTTTGAATATATCACCGTCACACCCTAATGCCGACTGAGTTCAAATATCGTGAAAATGGGACCAAAACTGCCGGACAAAATGGCCGCCCCTCGTGAGCAAATAGTGTAAATATATGATATATCAAGGTTGTGGACCCTCTAGACGTCACAATTTACATCCGATTTTGATGAAACTTGAAATATATCTTTATAAACCAAAGATCTTGGTCCCTGTCGATGTTCGCGCATATCAGATTGTAACTTCCTGAATTATGGCCCTTGATTGTACGAAAAATCGCTTTTTGTTTAGCTTGCTCTCTATTCTTCTCTTGCAAAATGTGGGCGTATCTTGTAAAAGTTTGTGGATCTTGAAATTGAGCATGTGCTTTGTATCTTTTACCATTTGGATATACGGTTTCATCACATTCACACATTCTGATTTCTGCCTGTGTTGCTGGTTTTGAAAGTTCATACCTGTCACAACGTCCCTTTTTCAACAAGACCTACAGTCTGGCATCTAAGAACATTTCTTGTATTTCTACTAGAAGATTTTGGGTTGTCCTTGTGAACTGCGATTTTTATCCATGTCAAGGTAACTATGAAATGATTATTTCCATTTGCACATCTCCACACATGTGCTTCTGAATATAAATCCATTACCTTAACAGTGACCGCCCTAGACTCTTAAAACCTTTAGCCAAATTTTTAGCCAATTCAAAATTTTATTAGCCAATTCAGAAAGTTTTAGCCAAATATTTTATATCATTTTTATTCATATGTTTGTTAATTAAAAATGAAAATAAATGTGTGTGTGTGTTTGTTGTATTTTACGTCCGCTTCCACCGAGGTGATATCGCGGACAAAATAAATGTTTAATATGTACTTTTATTTTATGATCAGTAGTGGAATATCGCGTTTTATCAGTGAAATAAAAGTGTTATTCCACTGGCTAGTTGTTTTTACCTAAAATGATTGTAAAATCATAAAATAAATATAACATTTGTCGTTTTGTCGTGAATAACATATTTTATTTCATCTCTAAGCAAGAAAACGTTTATGTTTTCACTCATGCTACGCATTCGTGAAAATATAAGTTTTCTTGCTTCTCGATGAAATAAAATATGTTATTCACTCTAAAACGACAAATATCCTCTATATATAGTACACAAGAATATTATTTTATCTCCTTGTTCATGCAAAAGTTCACATTATTGAGAGAATGAATGCAGATAACAAAAAAATGTTTATAGGACGTACTTCACAGTCACATGATTTAATTTACTTCATCGTCATAACAGAAAAGACACGACGATTCTTTTTAAGACACCGCTGATTTGAAATTTATGTCCGGTCCATCCATTTTTATAAGCATGAGGTCATTGAGGGTTAGCTCGACGGTCTCGGTTAAAGGTCTAATTTTTGTCCACATGTTGATGAAGCCAACGAAGGACTTGCGTCCGAGATGACACGCTCACTCACGGAAGTAGATTCTGGACTAACAGTAGTCGTAGGAAGGAAAAAGGAATCTATCCTTATTTTGGGTTTACTAGTATTAGTTGTCATTAATGTGCGTTTTATTTATTTGCTGCGTAAGTAAAGAAAACTTGTAGTGAAGCGAATGTAAACAACGCAGTGCCACACAAAAGTTAGTTAGTGTTAGTTGTATTTTACGTCCGCTTCCACCGAGGTGATATCGCAGGGGCGTAACTGTGTTTTATAGTCTCCAGACTCGATCTTTCGGTCGTTTTAATGCGTAATATTGTAACATTGACTGATTTGCGACTTGTAAGATTGAGACTAGAGTAATTAATGTACTAAAAATAGACACTCCATCGAGTCGATCGAAAGAAGCGTTTAACGAGACGATTTCAAGTTTAATATTAGCTGATTTACGAAATAACACTCTCTAAAATTCATTCGCCAAATTTTTCGCCAGTATCATCACTTTATTCGCCAATAAAAATAATTGTCGCCATTGGCGAATGTCTAGGGCGGTCACTGCCTTAAACATACATTATGCATGTCTTTCTTTAGGCCTAAAATGTTATCTAAATTATTAATTAGACATTAATTAACTTAGAACGCTCATCGTTGATTAAATCAAAAAATGGATAATCGAGACTATGTTTTTTATCGTACCGACTTTAGTAATGATCGAGGCTAGGCCCAAAATTCAATCGCTAATTTCTCGGTTCAGGGTGAATCAATTTGACTGAAATTCGGCAAATTTCCTTTACATTATCTAGTTTTACAGGATCTTACCCGATATCTCCACCATGTATAACCACTAGGTTCTTCAATAACTAATACGTCTGGAATGGTTCTTCAATCTTTTACGACGTAA